GGGAAGGTTCGGGGCGCGGACCCTGCGAGGGTTCGGCGGCGGAAGAGCAGGTGGAGTGGTGCAGACGCCGACCCGTCTGGAGACTGCCAGAATTTAGGCTGACTACATTGGGGACCGCTGGATTCGACGCGGAAGGAGCTGTGGTCGAATCCACCGTCTCAGATCGACGGTGTGTTTGCTCGCGCCCGCGCGTCGCTCTGCTTCTGCCGCGTGGCGCGTCGCGTTGCGGTTGACGACGCGGCGCAGGAAGCTCTCCGACGAAGTGTCAGAGGCACAGCATTGGCAGCAGCAGAGGTGCGGTGAAGTCGCCGAACGGAAGCGGAGCGGCGCTGGCGTTTTGGGGTACGGACGGTGGATAAGTGCAGTGCTGATACCCGGTCGATCCATCGTGGTTTGGTTGGGAAGCTTCCGGGGTGAAGTGAAGGTGGAGCGGACAGAAACATACTGGAAGCTACTAGTAACAAGGGCATCTATACCAGTCTCTCAAGAACATATAAGTTCATATAAGGTTTCCCAAAAGAAACCGCAAGACCGATCTATTTCGTCAATCTTAGCAATCCCTCTTCAGGTGCATTCATTCTCCTTCTGCTATTGGATGCGTCTTGAGGGCACACAAAGACCCCCGAAGAGTGTGGAGGGCACAAAGAACACGTCTCGTTTGCCTATCCGTATTTCCGAGATTCGCATGTGACAGGACGATACCAGACGGCCTTCCTTTTCCAGATGTTGACTCCAACAAAAGACCGCCCAAGTGGGTGTGGCAAAACCACTCCAAGACTCGCGAGGGCTGAGCTTCAGCTTCTTCCGAGGCATGAGTGGTGCCAAAGCACCTTGAGCCTTCTGGCGCAGGAGGGCCAACGTGGCGAAGGTGCGAAATGGGGGGGAGCGAATGGTGACAGATCCAGCCCATCAGACACATCCAAGAGAGGTGGAACGTGACCTGAACTAGGATCCGTCACCTGGGTACCCAACTGGGATAGTCTAGTTTGGGTACCTCAACCTCTGTTGGCATTGGGACTCCAGGTACTATTCACAGGCTAAGAGAGGGCTGTGAAATGCTGTGAAAGACCTCTCTCTCAGAGAGGAATGTTTCAAGCCGATCCAGTCACCACTGTATAGTAGGTAACCAATGGTTTCAAAGTTCCAAAGACTTCAACCGTAGACCGAACGAAACCCAGGTTCCTGACAAACCTGGATCTTCCATGATCTTCCAACTATTGCAAACTTTCCAAACCAGCCGTTCGTTCGGCATCACTTTTGCATGGGAAGATCCAGACCGACCTTCCCGAACCAACTCCACTGGGCTGCCGGGGCTGCCGGATCCGGGATCCACCGGCCCGAACCACTGCTGCGGGCTCCGTGGAGATCGTGCCTCTGTGGAAGGGGGAAGCAGCCTGGCCATGTGCTTCCCGGGTCACGGGTCGCGGAGGCCGGCGCACTTCACGGGGGGGGCTAGCTATATACACCTCGCTTGGCTACCCCTCCTGGACCCGTGCCAGGTGTGGTGGAAGAGTTGCGCCAGTCCCTCGCCAAGTGGGACGCTGCTCCGCGCGAAGTGGGGGGCCCCGGGTCGGTGCTCCGAGCCGTTCGTCGGCTGGCCGACCTGGTCAGGGGTACCTGGTGTCCGTCGCGACGGATCGACTATTGGGATCGGTGTTGACCCTACCAACAGAGCTCGGTCAGAACCCTATAGACCAGCACTTCCAACAGGGTCACCAATTGAAACCTGTTAGGGCCTAACAACCCTCCATTTCGGAGACCTGTTGGAAGGTGCTGGTATAGACTATATAGACTATCCCAGTTGGGTACCCCAGTAAAGGTCCCAGTCGTACCGAACCTCAGGTTCGTGTCTTCCTTTGCTCTTTGACACCACGGGCCGCGGAAAAAGGAGGAAAGCCCAGTTACAGCCCTTCGAAAGAACAGCGAACCCCACGGGGAGCCGACGCTTGGAGCTCGGATCTACTGCTGACGACACTAGGAGAGGTCAGAAAAATGTCAGAAATACACCCATGTCACGTGCCCTGGCCTACCCGGAAAATGGCACAGATTTGGGGTGGTTGGCACCCGGGGGTTGGTAGGTTGGCATCATTAGGCACTCGCGAAGAAGGGAGCCTGGTGGGAAAAGACCATACACATCACATATACCATGATATATAATCCATCAGCAAAAGAATCATCTGAAGCTCTTAAAACATCACACCTGGTGGTCGAAAGTGACCCATCTCACCCTCTGGTGGTTCTTCACTTCCTCGCCTCTCGGAGAGGAAAAGAAGGTCAGTCAGGCGACTGCTTTCTTTGTCTCTGGAGGAAGCTATCAATGGTCCGCGTCCGGTCCCTTCGTTCCAACCGGTCGTCGGGCCTCCCCAACGCAGCTGCCGCGTGGACCGGCAGGATGGCCGGAGCAGCTTCGTGCAGCTTCGACAGGTGGGCGACGGAGAGGAGGGGGGCAGGGAGGTGGAACAGAGGGCCGGGACCACTCGCAGTGGCCCGGCCGGTTTGCCCGGCGAGCACACACCCCAAAGCCCAGCCTTTTTTAAATATAGGATAATATAGGGAAAACCCCTGCCAGGTGTTTGATGGTTTGTGGGGGCCCCTTAGAAGGAGGCTGGGCTTACCCAGTCCCAACATCGAACAGCCAGAAACAAATGCTTGAAACCCAAGATGGCGCCAGCTTGAGTTCGGACGTGGCTCGGACAAGGGATACATGCAGACTTCTTTCTGGTCGTGACTCGATTTCCCAGGCAGACTCCAAGTGAACTGAAGAATCATCGTGGCGGCATCCAGCGACTTCATCGGTGGCCAAATCGGTGGACGTTTGGTCCGGTCATTTTGGGTGTCTTTTTCTGGGCGTCGCCGAAACGACGAAGGAAACGACTATGACATCGTGTTCTTCTTTGGACTTTCTGAGCTGATGAATGCACAGCACACACTCCCCCTCAGGTGAAAATACGGAAAAAGACAACACGCACCCATGCGCACCCCATCCATTTCCATTCCCAGCCTTGGTGAGTAGCTCATGGCCAGGGGCTACAGAGTCCTAGTTACCCCCTCCCCCCGCCGTCCCAGCAAGGGGGCAAACCGGAGTTCGACCTCCTTTGCCCACCGTCCACCGGAGCCTTTTTCTTGGAACCGCACGCGAGACCGGTCGCTGCCCAGCGACCAGGCCACCGAGCTGCAGGAGCTGCAAGAGCGCTTGAGGCTGCGAGGCGCACCGGGTGAGGAGTCGGAGGTGCGTGGTGTGGTTCGAAGGATGGCAGGTGTGTGGCGTGGTTCGGGGCGCTACGTCTTTGAGTTCAGAGAAGCACACTAAGCAAGTCACTGTGGGGGAGTAGCAAGCAAGGTCCTATTTGGAGTTCAGAGAATTCGAAGTAAACTAAGCAAGTCCTGTGCACTCATTGCAAGCAAGGTCCTGTGAAGGCGAGGCAAGTACGGCAAAGCGAAGTTATCACTGGCTGGGTCCCACAATCGGTCCATCATGTTCATCCCTTTTTTTCCACACATCCATTTAAGTGTGGAGCTCTTTTGAAGGAGAGACCAACCAACAACCGGCTGTGGTCGTGCATCTTTCCGTGAAGCACAGCAAAGATTTTCCTGAAGAATCTACGAAGGGTCCCCAAACCAGACCATTTGCCGATCTTTGCCCTATAGAAGTCCAGGAAACGGCTCACTCTTTCGCAGACACCGAAGTAGCTTCAGGACATTCCTGGACTCCCATCAGCGAGTAGGACCACCACGTTATCCTGATGGTCCTACACGAAGCCTCCTGGGCATGACATCATGCCCAGGCGCTCCGTGACAACAGCCCAGTGGTCCATCAAAAACCGGATTGGTTCGACCCCAGACCCCTCCATATCAGACCCCAGACCCCTCCGGATTCGGGTCCGAACCCTCCATAGGTTCGGCTCCAGGGTCGCGTCTGCCTCCCAAAGGGCCCACAGAGCCACTGCTTTTGGGTGCTGGTTCACGGAGCCGGCGTTGGAGTCATCTCGTTTGAGGAATGGAAGCCTCAAATCCGAAAAGACCAAGCCTACCCTGGAAAGTCCCAAGAGCATCTTAAGAAACAATAAGATATGTGAATGTTCCTCTAGATTTCCGTGCTGTCATGACTTTGTTGGGACTTCTGACTTCAAAGGGGACGCCTTGTTCACAGAGCCCGCAAACCCCCGGCCCACCGGGAGACCTCAGACGTCCACCCACCCGGGGCCCACCGACTCTGACCGTTGCCGAGCGCAGGCGCCAGCAGCTCGGCCCAGCACCGCTTCACCGAGGCCCTGAGGCTGGTGGCGCGGCGGTGGCGGCGGGTGGGTTCGGTGGTGCTGTTGGGCTGTTGGGTTCGGCGCCGGTGGTTCGGTGCGGCTTTTTCGGGTACCGGAAGGATCATTTTTGGAAGGGGGATGGGTCTTGGGGGGGTGTAGTGGAGGCTCCGGAGTGGAGGATGGGTCTTTAGGATGTGGTGCTAAGGAGGTGGAACACCGAATGGGTCGGGGCAGGTGAATTGGAGGCACCTTTGATATCTTTTGATGCAGAGGCTTGGAAGGTCGAAAGACTATACTTTCCCTTAGTGAGGTAAAGGACATTCCCTTTCCGATCCCCGTATAGTCTTTGACTCGCAGGGTATAGGCTTGGAAGTTCCAAGTAATTACCTTCTGCAAAAGGTATGTGGATGCAGTGGATCCCCAGGGCTGCGATGGGTGGGAATTCTCCTTTTGGATCTCGCAAGCAGAGATTGCGAGTGACCAGTTGTCTTGAATTTCGTGGGGGGCGGGCATTGACTGTCATCGACCAGTTTTCATTGACTTGGTGGATGACTTGGTTGTACATCTTCTGCAGAGTTGGTACCATGGTGTGTTCATTTTGGAGCCATCAACTATAATTTACATGGGGTTTCAAAGTATATTTTTTGCAAGTGATCTCAGCTATCCATTTCCACTAGTCCCTGGGTCCCCAACCTGCAGCAAGAATAGCAGCACCTAGTCTTAGCAATACCTTACTCAGAAACCGTTGCTGTCGTCCTTCTTTCCCAGCTGCGTCGTTCCACCGCCCCCCCCCCCCCAAATCTCCGCCGCAAATCGACGACCCCCCGGCCGGTCCCGTTCGGAACCGAGGAGAGACTGCGCGGCCGCCTTCGAACAGAGTGAAGTGCGGCACAAGGTGCCCAAAAGCACCATGACCCCGACACGACCTGTCTGGGACTGCCATCGTTCTGCCGCCCCCAGAGTCTGACCCCCTCTTTCCCACGCACGCACCACCCAGAAATCGCCCGGCCGGCCGTGAGTTCCTCGTCCGGAGCTGGCAGTCCCGTGAGGATTCGACACCGCGATGACTCGTGTCAGCCGTGATGGAGTTTTCGCCGGTCGTGGTGAAGGCACCCCGTGGTTCCGCCATGTCCACGACCGACTCCACCGCCCTTCCGACGACGGGGCCGGTCACCGCCGGAACCCTTGGACCAGTCGCGGACGACGGGAGCGGTCACCGACCGACGACGAGAGCGCCGGAAGACGGAGGGGTTGGGGGATTTTCGGGGTGAAGAAGAGGAATCTTTCAGCTGAAGAATCTGAGTGGGTCTTTCAGTTTCAGCCGGAGGACCGGTGCAGGCACTTCCCCAAAGGTTGAGACCTGCAGCAGGTGGAGGACAGGGACGAACTCGACTCATGAACTTGACAGTTGGCAGCAGATCCGGCTGCAGCTTGTTCGGCCCAAGGTGTTCCAGGTAAACCGGTGGGGCAGCTGCCGCAATTGAACCTCCCAACATACCTGCCATGCCTAATTGCTTGTAACATTTTGTAACCAGGTGAAAGAAAGGCTTTATCATCGCAAGAGCTTCGCCCGCCCAAAACCACTCACTTGACCAAACACATCCCCAAAACCACTCTAACCACTCTAACCACTGGGCGTAGCGGTGTAATGGATGGAAACAGTTTCCGATCACAGTGCATTCTTCATCAAACGGCCACTTGGTCGACGCGCGACGCCAGCTTCGCGGCATACGCGCCGTGGCGCGCGAGCCATGGTGAGGACACTTTCAGCGGTGCTGCCCAGTGGCGAAGTCAGGGCTATTGAAGTGACTCCAGAGATGACAGGCCTGGAGCTGAAGCAGCAGATCAAGGAGGGACAGCTGACTTGGGATGAGCTTACTCACAAGACTACGGCTGTGGAGATCATCGTGGAAGACAACAGTTTGTTGGCCAATGATGCGAAAGTGTTGGATGTAGCATTCGCTGAAGAAGAGACAGTCTTTGTGAGTGTAGTCTTCAAACCCAACGTAGTGATGTGCTCCAAACAAGACGCAGTTGCCAGTTCTGGCGGTGTCATTGACTCAGATCTGTTGCTGGTCGTTGAAATCCCAAGTGATGAAACTCAGATTCAAGAGCACGCGTTCTGCAATTGCCAGACATTGGCCAAGTTGACTATCCCGAACTCTGTAACTCACATTGGGAAAAGTGCCTTTGAAGGATGCAACTCGTTGGTCAACTTGACCATCCCGGACTCCGTGACTCACATAGGTGATTATGCATTTCACTGTTGCAGTTCTTTGGCAGCCTTGAGCATCCCAAACTCAGTGACTCAAATTGGCGACGGTGCCTTTGAAAATTGCAGCTCTTTGGCGAGCTTGACCATCCCGGACTCTGTGACCGACATTGGGGATGGTGCCTTTGGATACTGCAGCTCCCTGGTGAAATTGACAATCCCCAACTCAGTGATCCAAATTGAAACTTGTGCCTTTGCGGATTGCAGCTCTTTGGAACACTTGAACATCCCGAACTCAGTGACCCACATTGGGCACGGTGCTTTTGCCAATTGCAGTTCTTTAGCAAACTTGACGATCCCGGACTCAGTTACGTTCATTGGCAATTATGCCTTTGCACATTGCAGCTCTTTGGTGAACTTGACCATCCCAGATTCGGTCACGGACATAGGGCATGGTGCCTTTGAAGATTGCAGATCTTTGGCGAGCTTGACCATCCCAGACTCTGTGACCGACAATGGGGATGGAGCCTTTCACCATGCCTATCGGACATAGGTTACGTGTGTATCGTGTGTCCCATAGTGAAAGGCCTATCCAAAGACACTCTGGAAGCAAGGATAGTTGGGTGTGAAAAATCAGAATCACCCAAAGACCTCCACCTGGCACGGTGTGGTGTGCTCCGCACCCCTCTTCTTCTGCGCGCGTGCGCAGTGAAACAGCGCGGGGTTGCCGGGGTCTTGGCGGTTTGCGGGCTGCTCCATTTTCAGTTTCAGCGCTGCCGTACGTCGATTCCACCAGCTGCGAGTGTGTCTAGCTGGATGGAGCTGACGACTTGGCGATCCTGGACCACCTTCGACTGGGCGGACCGAGCAGCGCGGCCGGCCCCCTCCAAGCGGCCCCTCCGCTGGTCCGAAGCGGTCAACTGGCGATCTGGCGGAGCAGTGTGAAAAGCTCCGCAGGCCGCGCTGAGCCCCCGGCCAGCTTGTGGGGGGAGTTGTTCAGCGGCCGAATCGGCCTGGGTGCGGCCGCCGGCCGTGTCGACCCGATCGGCAGGACTGGGAGGTGTCGCAGCACATCGGGCACCAGGTTGATGATCAGAAGCACCAATGGGACTTGGTGCATGGCTTTTGACCCTAGAAGTCCAGGGCAGACGATGTGTCGGGAACGGAACGTATCAATATACCCTGGAAGTCCAAAGACATCCAAAGACTATCCTTTCCCTTTGTGAGGCAAAGGACATTCCCTTGTCGATCCCTAGTCAGACCTTTCTTTGTATAGTCTTTGACTCGCAGGGTATATATATATATATATTTACATATTTAATATAACTCAGGAACTGAAGTAACTCGCGTCACCGAGTCCTTTGAAATAGTCTGTGACTTTCAGGGTCTGCTGTCGACCTGATCGAAGCCGGGCCCGGCGCCTCCCGGCGCCTCCCGGCGCCTCTTCGCCCGATCCGTCCCCCGACGCCATTCTTCGAGGCCGTCGAAGAGGAGCTCGAGCTTTTGCAGAGCTCGGCAGAGGCGAGTGACTGGACATGAGAGGCTCCAGTTAGACCCGATTCCAAAACCACACTGACCAAGAGAGGTTGAGCGACCTTATAGGACGTAGTGTACAGATGGGATGGGCGACCTTATTAGGGCTGTTCCACCTCTCTTGGGATATACCAGCAATCACATGCCGGGCCGAACGAACAGAGGAAGATGAGGAAGTCCGGGTGCCCCTGTCACGTCACGTCCACGGCCGATGGGACCAGCCCGGCCCCACCCAGGCCCCTCCATGTGCCTCCCTGGTACCTTGTTTTTTAGCACCTGGAAGAGAGGCTTCGGATCATCTTCCCAGCCTGCTTCTTTGTTCTTGGTGTCACCACCAGTCTCAACCAGTCTCCATTTCCCACCCAACATCGGGTGCTTGGCAAGCATCGGGTGGTCGGGTGCTTCAATGCCCGCCTTCACCCCCCAGGCCTTGCAAGCCTCCGAGGCGGGGCGGGCGGGGGCGCTGGAACCCGCCGGTGACCTCGGACACCATTGGGGTGGCAAAATCGGAGGAATATGGGTCCTCGACCTCCGGCGACCCTCCGGCGACCCTCCGGTGACCTCCGTCGAGCGCCGTCCCTTTGAGTTCGAGCGACCGGTGATTCGGAGTGATGAGAAGACACCGTGGAGGAGTCTCGCCCCCCAGTCCCAAACTCGACTGAAGTCCGACCTACCAGGACCACCTGCCGTTAACAAGTCAGCTAGCTTCGTTGGAGCCGACCATTGAGCCGAGTCATTGAGCCTCTCCTTTAGCTCGGAGGAGTTGGTCTCTCCGCAGCTCGGAGCCACGGTTTGGTTTGGTGCCGGTAGTGCGCTTTGGGTGTGGCGTGTCACCAAGATGTTGGCTTGTTGGGATTTTGGAGGTTCATCCAAAAAGTAATTCAGCACTGTGAATGTCACTCCATGACATGCTGAAACCAAGGTTGCTGGACTGAGGAAAGCTCTCGACGACCGCTGGCACGTGGCTCCTTGTTTCCACCCCTGACCTCCTAAGATGGGAGGGCGACGTCACGACGCTTGAGCCATGCCTACGTTGGTGTGAAAAGACCGCACCAAACCGGGAAACGCGAGACGACACTTCGTGAGGTTGTTTCTTGGATTGGTTGCATTTGTTGCTACCTTCAAATTGGTAGCGGAGCCCCGACCAGGGGCTCCCTACCGTGCTGCCAGTTGACAGTTGGTTGTTGATTTGAGAGTTGGTTGAGTTGCATTGCTCTTGCACCCTGTACGTTGCACACTGGCCTTTGCTTGTTGCACATTGTACATTGTACATTGAGCAAGTCGACATTGAACATTGGACATTGCACCCTGGTCGCTGACCGCTGTACCTTGTGCATTGCGCCCTGGTCGTTGACCGTTGTTCATTGAGCAAGTTGACATTGAGCATTGGACATTGCACTTTGATCGTTGATCGTCGTACATTGAGCATTGCTACACGTTGTGCAGATGGCTTCGACCTCGAGCACAGCTGGTGACACCACCAAGGATTCATGGGTGCCGACCTTTAGCAATCGGCCTCAGGACTATAGAGAGTGGAGGGCTCGCATCCACCTGTACTACAAGAAGATGCAACTGCAGAAGAAACCTGTTGAAGGAATCATCAACATCCTCACCACCATGACCGGCACCGCATGGAAGCAGTTGGAACCCCAAGCTGACGCATTGAGTGAGGACAAGGAAGGTTTCTCAAAGTTGATAGCAGTTTGGACAGGACGTTCAAATACGATGACCGTGTTGAGCAACCAAGGGCCTTCGAGAAGTTTTTCTATAGCCTCTCCAGAAGGCCGGATCAGACATTGATGTCGTATTGTGCTGATCATCGCGAAGCACTGCGGGAGGTCCAGAAACACAACATCTCCCTGCCGGCGGAAGTGACTGGTTGGCTCCTCCTTCGGAGGAGTGGGTTGTCTCAGGAGCAGAAGCAATTGGTACAATCGCAGTGTGGAGCAACATTGGAGGAAACAAAAGTTGAAGAAGCTATGTACTTTTTTGTTTGGCCAAGATTTTCGTGGCCGCTCCACCTATGACCATCGTGGCAAGCCCTACAATGCACCTCGCTCAGCTGGAAAGAATGCCTACAAGTGGCAGAAGAAGGGCTCCCAAGCGGCATACGCTGCCAACGATGATGATCCCGACCCTCAGGACTATGAAGAGTTCTATGAAGTTGATGAGGCTGACGCCTACTTTGGTGATTGGCCGGATGATCCTGAAGAGGTCAACTATGAGGATGACGAGCTGGAAGAAGTTCTCCATCAGGAGGACGATATGCCTGATGTTGATGACCCTGAATGGGAAGAGGCATATGCATCATATCTTGATGCCCGCCGGAGGTTTGCAGAGCTCAAGACCAACCGTGGCTACTATCCAGTTGTGGCCTTAGCAGACCCCAGTCCATCCAGCTCAGCCCAATCCCAACGCCCCTATCCTCCAAAGGGGAAAGGATCCAAGGGCTCCAAAGGCAAAAACACCTCCAGGTCACCACCCCAAAAAGGTGACGCCAAGTCAAGGGGCAAGGCCGCCCTATCCTCCAGTTCGTTCAACAAGAACACCTGTCTCCGATGTGGACAGCCAGGTCATTTCGCAGCTCAGTGCCCGCAGAAGCGTACCACCCCTAGCAACAGCGCATCACCCACTTCGAAGAAGTCCAAGGGTGAGCGCAACGCCCTCATGGTGAACTTCGCAATGAAGGACGCCTCAAGCATGCCAAACGGCATCCATGGCACCATTGATGGCAGTGCAAGCTGTATGGCGGTAGGCCATGACAACCTTATGCAGTACATCGAGCACTTCAGCCAGCACCACATTGGACCAGATGATTTCCAGTTCCGCCCGACAGTGAAGACTCTCCAGTTCGGCGGTGATCGATCCTTAGATTCCCAGTGGACCGTTCACTTGCCCATTTGTGTCAATGGCATCCTGGGTCGAGCACAGACCTTCATCGTCCCAGGCAGCACACCGCTGCTGATCGGTCGCCCGATCTTGAAGGCGATTGGCATCCAGCTCAACTTCATGGAGGACACGATGAAAGTACGAGATGGTTCATGGCAGGCCATCATCATGGGCCCTCGCAACGAACACCTGTTGCGACTGGATGATGGGCTTGAACGTTTGACAAACACCACGGACTATCAGTTCGACTACATGCTGGAGGAGACCTACCAGCAGTTGTCACTTGAGCCACATGCAAGCACCACAGAACCATACACCTTGTGGCACTACCTCGAGCTCACAGGCCTTGAGCCACCACAGCTCACACACGAACAAGCCATGAACACACAAGATGATGACAACAACACGGACGACAACAGCACCTCCGATCCTGAGGACATGGACGAAGATGATGATGACACCCTGCACCGACGTGCACTCACGGACAAACTCGTCCGGAGTTTCCGTGTGCACCAACAACACCTAGCGCAACAGCACAAGGCCACCATCGAGGCCGCGCTCCAAGCACATGCGGAACATCGCATGCAGTTCTGGGAGATCTATGCAGGAGACGCCAACTTGGCTTCAGCCATGCAGGCCAAAGGCTATGTCGTGCGCACCTTTGACATCCGCAGCGGTTGGGACTTCACGAACCCCAAGCACCAGCGAGAGCTGATCAAGCTCTACTACCTCACCTCGCCGGACGTGATCTGGCTTGCACCACCGTGCACAAAGTGGTCACCCATCCAACGCCTGAACATCCGCAGTCAGGCTGATCAAGACCGACTGGAAGCACAACAGCAGCACGAGGAGGGAACCCACCTCCGATTCAGCAAGAACCTACACAACAAACAACACAAACAGCAACGACTTTCACTCTTCGAGCATCCCAGGTACGCAGAATCCTGGAACACCGAAACACTACAACAGCTAGAGGGACATGACGCCCACATCGACCAATGCCAATATGGAGCAACACTTCCGGACCATGATGGCATTGAGCAGTACATCCGTAAGCCAACCACCCTGAGAGTCGCCTCAGAGACATTGGCACAACTCCTTGAGCGCACATGCCAAGATGAGCACTACCACTTGCCCATCGAAGGCAGCTCACCAAACATCGGCAGTCGAGCAAACGCCGCAGGCAGCTACCACCCACAGATGTGTCAGGCATGGGCCGACATTCTCCACTACTACCTCCAGGAACACTACTGGCCCAACTATGAACCTGAATCAGCACATCACCAAGACACACCAGACTCACCACACGAACCACAAGCGGCAGATGATGAGCCATACGATGAACTACAAGCCTCAGCAGAAGCAGAGGAGCACTTCACGAACAACAAAGGCATCCTGACCCGACTTCAGGAACAGCGCTTCGCAGCAGCACAACGAACAGTGCAGCGACTACATCGCAACTTGGGCCACCCCACCAACTTGGAGTTGGCTCGAATCCTCAAACAGAGGAACGCAAGTGCATCCATCATTGCAGCAGCACAGCAACACACATGCACACTATGTGATGCACACCGTCCACCACCACAAGTGCCAAAGAGCAGCTTGCGCACTGGCGGCAGCTTCAACGCACGAGTACAGGCAGACACAGTGTGGATTCATCCACCCACCAGCGTCCAGCAGGACGGCAAGAAACCACATCCCGTCCCAATTCTCTCCATCGTTGATGCTACCACAAAGTTCATGACGGCCAGAGTCATCCCCAAGGAGCAGTCCGATGATCTCATCACGGCCTTTGAGAGAAGTTGGATTCGCTTCTTTGGACCGCCAGCCATCTTGCAGATCGACGACCACCGCGGCTGGGCCTCAGAAACTTTGAGGACTTGGGCCAGTGACCATGGCATCCAGTTGGAGATATCCCCAGGGCAGGCACACACCCGCCTCAGCGTCATCGAACGACGCCACCAGGTCCTACGACGTGGACTTGAACTTTTCCTGGCACAAGAGCCGCAGCCAGACAAGCCAGTGTCTGAACAGCTGGCCCGAGCAATCTGCTATGTGATCCCGCAGATCAATAACAGTCCCAACGTCCAAGGCTACAGTGCTACCCAATGGGCAATGGGAGTTCAACCCCGCATGCCCGGCGTCCACAGCACAGCTCACACCCAGTGAAGCTATGCAGCAAAAGCTTCACCTGCAGAAGCAAGCAGCCATAGCAGTGATCGAGGCCGACAACGACTCCCGACTCAGGAGAGCACTCCTTCGGCAGCACCACGCCATCCAGTACACCTACACTGCAGGTCAGAGGGTATACTACTGGAGGGACGCACCAGGGGGAGCAGGGCCAAAGATCAGGTGGAAGGGACCCGCCACCGTGATCATGACCGAACCCGGTCGAACAGGCCCCAGCACCAACACCTACTGGATCACGCACGGCGCCACCTTGCTGAGAGTCTCGGGGGAACACCTCCGACCAGACCTCAACCACAGCGACACCACAGACCCGATCCAACGAGCCAAGGCCGCCCTTGACTCAGTTCGCGGACGCAGCGCCACGCTGTACTTCGATCTCCAGCGCTCCAACAAGCGCAAACGCTCTGAAGTTCTCACCGAAGATGAAGAAGATCCTGAACCAGCACAAGATCACACCACCCAAGTGGAGGGAACAAGCACCACACCGGCAACAGCAGACCCAGCAGCAACACCGACAGACTACTGGGATGTGGAAGAAGACGGACTCACCTGGCACCGCATTCATGTTGAACCACGTCAACGCCTGTTTGTCCCAGGCAATGATGCACCCAAGGACCAATTCCTTGATGCCAGACTCACGACTATCCGTCGACCGAACCAGCCAAGGACCGTCCTACGAGACGATTGGCGTGCAGCTAATGCCGACCGTGGAATGCCTTTCCACTGGACCGGAAGCACCACCTTCAAGCTGCGCATCGAGTCTGGAACAACCATGCAGACGGATGCAACACCCCAGCCAATGTTGGTGCCAGAATCCTCCAGTGACACTGACATGCCCTCAGCACATCCAGCAGGAGCTACCTCCAATGATGCAGGAACCACTACATCACCACCAGCCCTGGCACCAGGCGATGATGCCCCAATGGCACCCGGAACAGGTGATGATCCCTCCATCGAAGCAGGTACAGTCCCACCACAGAGTGCTGGCGAACCAGAGCCACCACCTAGCATGCCAGAGACACCAACAGTTCCACCGCACCAGAAGGAACTGTACACTCCGGCAACGACGGAGACCTTCCAACAGCGAAGAGCCAGAGTGGATCGACAAGAAACACTCTCCTTCTACCAACCCGCCACCGGCAGAGTCCGATACGGACCAAACAGAGAGGTGTTTGACAGCACCCGGGCAACAACTAGCCCATACACCAGGCCCACGGCACCAGATCCCGAAGAAGCACTCACGTTGAGCACCTTCGATACAGATCTGGCCAAAGCGGACCAACTGACACTACCACCCGGATGGACCCTGGAGCATGGTTTTCTCACCTTGGAGGACCCCAGGGATGAATGGACCTTGCACAGCGACAAGCTCATCCGGAAACATTATGAACCACGAGACACCATGTTTGATCCAAGTGATCCCACCAATGGCTGTCCGCTACCGCTGCACTACCTGAGCAAAGATCGAGTCACCAGAGCAGCCGGCTACAAGGAGACCTATGACCGCTGGAAACAACAAAAGGACAGAACAACACCACACCCCTGGACAGGCCAGACGATCTTCAAGATCCTACCAGCATACCGCCGACTGGCGATGGACATGTTCTACAACCTCAGCGGAGGACACTCCTCCTACATTGAGCCAACAGCGCCAGAACAGGTCCTAGAGACCACAGACAAAGCAAACACCAAAGCACCCGGCCCCAAGGCCAAAGCAAGAAAAGACCAGCTCAGTGAACGACACATGAGCCTGGCAGACCGCCTGGCATTCATGGAAGCCAAACGAAAGGAGCTGGAAAGTTTTTTTCAGAATGATGTTTGGGAAATGGTGCAAAACGATGGCACGATCCCGGCAGATCGCATCCTGAAAGCCCACTTCATCCTCAAGTGGTCCAAGTGGCCAAATGGTGAACCAAGGGCGAAGGCACGCCTGATCACCCAAGGCTTCAGAGACCCTGACGCCCTGTCAGGAACCCTGAGTACTGACTCACCCACTCTTTCCCGCATGGGAAGAAACTTAATCCTGAGCATCGCAGCCAATGCTGGCTGGACCACCTTCAGTGCAGACGTCAGCACGGCTTTCTTGCAGGGCAAGGAACACCCCACCCACAGAACACTGTGGATTCAGCTTCCAGCTGACGCCCGCCGAATGCTCGGCATGGACAAGCACCACGACAACACATCGTTGATGCAGCTTCGGAAACCCATGTATGGTTTGTGTGATGCACCAAGAGCTTGGTACACCGAAGCTCGCGAGCGGATCACCAAGTTGGGAGCGGTAGTTCATCCGCTCGATCCCTGTCTTTTCCTGGTCCACGACCATGAAGCACCAGAACACCAATGGACCAGCCAGACAGACGATAATGGCAACACAGTTCGGCATGCTCCACTCTCCGGCCTATTCGGCCTTCACGTGGACGACATCCTCGGCACCGGCAACATGGAATGCCCCTCCTTCCGAAAGTTCAGTCAATGCCTGAAGAAGACTTTCAACTTCAGGACATGGGAGGAGAACTGTGACATGGACTACTGGGGAGCCAAGATCCACCGGATCAATGAGCACCACTACGAGGTGAAACACACCACCTACCTGGAGAAGCAAAAGCCCATTTCGTTTGAGAAGGCTCCAACAGAACAGGCAGTTTCTGAGAAGCAGCGCACTATGCTTCGTGGAATGGTTGGAGCATTGCAATGGCCATCTACACAAAGCAGCCCGCACCTGCAAGCAATGACAAGTCAGCTAGCAGGCATGGTGAGCAAGGCAACAGTTGGTGCGTTGCAAGAAGCAAACAAGTGTTTGAGGTTTGCAAAGCAGTACAGTGATGTTGGTTTGAAGTTTGAAGGGCTCGGCAGCTGCGCAGATTTGACATTTGTTGCTTACAGCGACGCAGCCTTTGCATCGAGAGCTGATCTCACATCGCAAGGGGGTCCTCTCATCATGATGACCAACCATGGAGTCACCCAAGGCCAAGAAGGTCAATACCATTTGATCGATTGGCGCTCCTGGAAGCTACCCCGCGTGGCGAGGTCGAGCTTGGCAGCTGAAAGTCAGGCGGCATCCGAAGCCTCGGACGCACTGTTGTACACCTCTGTATTCTGGAAGTTGATTTGGTCACCCTTCCTGGCGCTCGAGGACAGCAAGACCCCAAAGTTGAAACATCCACCACGGTTGGTGGTTGATGCCAAAGCACTGTATAACTGGTGGTTGATGCCAAAGCACTGTATGACCTGACGCAAGCTTCACGGCTTCAAAGAAGAAGAGCTTGGACCAGCGACGCTTGAACCAGATGCGCTACGCAGTTCCAAGGTCCAAAGCGCTGCTGAACGCAGCCATGTTTGTCACTCTAGCTACCACCTCCACTGCGCACTCCACTGAACCTCCGCCCAACGGCAATGACAACTTTGACATTTACAACTTCATGTTTCTTACAATGTTTACATTGTTTGTGGCAATGGTTGGGCATTTGTTATGGCACTGCATCACCACCCGTTGGACGACCTTGAGGTCCACACCCTCAGTGCTGGAGCTGACCGACGAAGGTCAGCTAGAAGAGACTGAACCGCCTCCTTTGGTTCAGCTCGAGGAAAACTATGCCCAGACCGACGAAGACCGCCCCCTGCTCACCTTGGTACAGTTGAGGCGCCGAGAGCGCGAATTGGAAAATGAGATTTCCGACCTGAAGAAGCAGCTTTTGTGGGTGAACACCCAGCACAAGGACATGTACAACAAGATGACCAGAAAGCTGCAAGGTATGGTCGAAGTCCACAACCTCCAATTTGAGCAAATGCGGCTTCGCTACGAGAAGGAGCTTAAAGAGCGCACTCGCAATCGCGTTCGGAATGCTGTCGGCAGAGACATCTACCGCACAGAAGCAGGTGAATGCTGGCACGCATCCTTTCAGTGTGCCCGTGGTCGAACGGCGAACATCACCTACACTCTTCGACCTTGCAAGATTTGTGGAAGTAAGCTTGGAGAGGATTTGTTGCCTGATATGGATGAGAGCTTTGAGCCAGCCTCCTCTTCCACCAGTGTGAATGTCACTCCATGACATGCTGAAACCAAGGTTGCTGGACTGAGGAAAGCTCTCGACAACCGCTGGCACGTGGCTCCTTGTTTCCACCCCTGACCTCCTAAGATGGGAGGGCGACGTCACGACGCTTGAGCCATGCCTACGTTGGTGTGAAAAGACCGCACCAAACCGGAAAACGCGAGACGACACTTCGTGAGGTTGTTTCTTGGATTGGTTGCATTTGTTGCTACCTTCAAAAGCCCAGTTTGGCAGACAGTTGGCATAGTTGGAAGATCCAGGTAGCAGGACCTTCCAACAGGCGGCTTTTGGACACCCCGAATCACCACTAAGATGCTATTTATAGACACCTTTTGGTGTCGGTCCTGGTATATGAAGGTACTTGGGGGAATCTCACTTGGTTTTTTCTCTGCCTAACGGTTCGAGCAATTGAATCAATCTGCGCTGGAGTTCGCACCTGCCCGTGGATCTCCACTCGAGATCCACTCGCTGCTCGGACTTCCCAACCTTCCAACAGAGGTGGGTCATGACCACGTCACGTTCGACGAACTCCCAGTTGGGTACCCGTTCGGTCGTTCCGGGTCCTGACCTGGTCATTGGCTACCTCTCTTGGTTTACTCATCCCCCAAGAACAAACACACAGGGGACCTCCAGGAACCTTGGACCCTCAAGACCATCTCCATGTGGATGGTTGGTACCGATCGACTCCGATCAGGGTCATCGAGAACGGCTCGCCAGAGGTGATACGGTGTTTTCGGGGTGTTTGGGACACACCCGCGCTAGGCTGGCTACACTGGTCCTGGGTTGGGGTATGTGGTCATTTTCATGGGGTCGTATGTAACGATGTCCCCTTCGTCGTCTAGGGAACGCGTGGGAGGGGTTCGCCGAGACGACAACCGAGCCTCTGGCCCCAGCGGCCTCGCTGCAGGCCTTGCATGGCATTGATCAGTCCCCTCTGGTGAAGGCCGGCGACGACGGGCGCAGCGACGACGACGTGGCTTTGCGGCGTTTCGGCGTCAGGTTGGCCTTGGAATCCATCCATCGCTCTGGAGCTCGGCGCACCAGCAACAGAGGTGGATAGGGACCTGAACTAGGACTCGTCACCAGGGGTACCCAACTGGGAGTTCGTCGAACGTTCGGGTTCTTCAACCCACCGAGCTGGCAGGATCTGGCAGGTCTTTTTGAGCCAGTTACCTCGCCCAACTGGATGGATGGACCGGTGTCTCAATAACCCCTTTCATTCGGAAGGTTCAGAGATGCTTCGTTGGGGCCCTTGCAGCCGAACGTACGGACGGCGCCACTCGTCCACCCTCGCCAGCGGCGAACGGCGCACCGCGCAGCGGTGGCCAAGCCAGCCGTTTTGGGAGGACTCGGAGAGGCATTTCAGTGGAATTCATCCCGTGGTAACCATCCTTTTAAACTATCTTTGGATTTACTGCTTTACCCATCAAAATCCAAATGGTAAGACAATATCATTAATTTTCAGTGGTGCTGGTTATAGGATTTAACTTGGAAAAAGTAAGACAGTCAGCGTCTTGAGCATCCAAAGGTAGAGGAACGCATGGATCAACTACAGAAGAATCGATCAACATGCTCCAGCATGAGCGAAGCACACCCCACACTCGGCCAAAGCGCTGGTCCTCAGCTGCCATGAGACTGTGGGCACTGCAGGCGAATGGCGAAGCCATTTGCTTGGAAGTTCGAGCAAAAATGAAAGGGAGAGAGCTAAAGAAGCTGATCAAAGAACAGAAGCGAACCTGGGACGAGTTCACTTGCAAAACGACTGTCGTGGAGATTGTCGTTGGAGAGAGGTGGGAGACGATGAGAAGGCGGAAGATGCAGGGCCAACGCCGTCAGATGCTGTGAGTGTCGTGTTTAAAACCAACACCGTCAGATGCTCCCACAAAGATGCGATCTCCAGCCTTCGCAGTCAGACTGACTTGGGACTTTTGCTTGTGGTGGACGTCCTGGACGATGAAGCTCGACCCTCATGTCTTCCACGACTGCGATCTGGTGGCCACGGTGGTCATCCTGGACTCAGTGACGCACATTGGATTCGGTGCCTTTGGGAGTTGCACGTCTTTGAGGAAGTTGAAGATTCCGGACTCCGTGATGGAGATTGGGGAGGGTGCCTTCCAAACCCTGGGAGTCAAAGACTATAAAAAGAATGGTCTTTAGGGGAACTGAAAGGGAACATCCTTTACTTCAGCTGGTCAAAATATAGTCTTTGGACTTCTAGGGCAAAACTGCAGCTCTTTGGGGAACCGAAAGCACATCTTGCACCTCGATGCCACGCATTTCGGACAATGCCTTCCAGGGTTGCACAGCCTCTGCGAGCCACATTGAGAAGCGGGCCTTTGAGAAGTTCTTTAGCGAGCTTGACCATCCCAGAGTCGGTGACCCACATTGAGAATGCAGCTTTTAAGAGTTGCAGCTCTTTGCAAAGCTTGGCTGTCCCGAACTCAGTGCCCCACATTGGGAATTTTGCCTTTCAAGATTGCAGCTCTTTGCCGGGCTTTACCATTCCAGACTCTGTGACCCACATTGACAGTGGTACCTTTTAGGGTTGCGGCTCTTTGACAAAATTGACTATCCCGAACTCAGTGACCCACATTGGGCATTTTGCCTGTCAGGCTTGCAGCTCTTTAACAAGCTTGACCATCCCAGACTCTGTTACCCACATTGGACGTTATGCCGTTGAGGGTTGCAATGCTTTGGTGAGCTTGACCATACCGAACTCCGTGACGCACATTGGGGATTATGCATTTGCGAATTGCAGTTCTTTGGTGAACTTGACCATCCAGGACTCAGTGACCCACATTGCAGATCGTGTCTTTGAGAATTGCAGTTCCTTAGCAAGCTTGACCATCCCAAGGTCGGTGACCTACATTGGGGATTCTGCTTTCGAGGGCTGCCGCTCTTTGGTGAACTTGACCATTCCAGATTCCTGACCCACATTGGGAATCTTGCTTTTCACTGCAGTTCGTTGACAAGCTTGACGATCCCAGGCTCAGTTACCCACATTGGGGGTCATGCCTGTAAGGGTTGCAATTCTTTGGTGAACTTCACTGTCCTGGACTCCGTGACCCACGTTGGGGATAGTGCGGAATTGCAGTTCTTCGGTGCAAGTATTACCCAGGTCTCACAAGTGTTGCTATGTGATGTGAGATTTTGGTTATGGAACTAAGGAACCACAAGTTTTGCCATGGCTCGAAACCACAGTCTCCACATCGCCGAAAAGTGGCTTCGTGAGAGTCCCTACGTTCGGAATCCTACTTCAGGCCAGAGTCCCAGTTGACTTCTCGTTTGAATTTCAATCTGCAGGGGTTGCAGACATCTGCACATGTCCCGCAGTTGAATGCTGTTCTGAAGCTCATTTTCCTCAACGCCACCCGGTGAAACCACCGGTCAAACCGGTGAACCACCGGTCAAAGCCGGAGGAAGGGACGGTCGGAGCAAATGGCCCAGGGAGCGGACTCTGGGAGCGGAGTTGGAGTTGGGCACGCCTGGAAGATTCACATAGCCTGAAATCAGTCACTTCTGAGCTTCAGCTTCAGGTGAGCTTCTTGCAAGTGGGCAGCAACCAGGCCCGGGCCACACCGTGGAACGGACCGCGCCGCCGCCGTCGGTGTACGTGTGTGTTTCACCCTTTCGCCCGTCACGTCACGTCCAGATCCAGGACCGCAGCCAGGTACATGGTTCGTGTGGTTTTTGCATGATCAACCCCAGCACGTGACCTACTGGAGTGAGTCATACAGGTCATACAAGTTCGCAACCACTCAAGAAGCTTTTCAGGACCAGGTGAAACAGCTTTGGAATCAGGAGACTGGACTTGTGTACTCTTCCAGTTCCCGTTCGTCCGCTCGTGTCTGGCCCTACCACAGCCGTGTTGGGTCTCGTCCGTCCCCGCCCGTGTTCGTGTTGGGTCTCGTTGAAGTCATGTCGGCACCCCAGCTGCAGCGCCTGATGCAGCCGGACCGGGCCTGATGCGCCTGATGCATCCGACCGTCGCACCCCAGCTCACCTGTTGCGTGCGTCAAATCGACCGTTCCAAGATGAGGTTGAGAGGTCGCTTCACGTTCGGACCCTGGTCTGTGGGACATATGGGATGGGCGACCTTAGGGCTGTGAAAAACCTCTCTTGGTTGGACCTGGACCGGTGGCGAGTCAGACGAATCTCTGCCCGCATGATGGAGGGAGACGGGTGGTGACCATGCACACCTCCGAAACTCCGAGGGATGTTCCATCCTCAAACCGCCGACTCCGTGGGGGCTGGTGAGTGGAGGTGTCTTCTTCCCCATCCACCCATCGACCCCGAGCCATCACTTCCATCGTCGGATCGGAGGGCCGAATTCTGCTGAGTTCCAGGACCGCGGAAAGGCTGAGTTGCCCGACTTCCTGTCCCTCTTCAGGCGGGACCAGCAACACCGGACTGTACCAGGACCCCGTTATTCCGGCGTGGTTGATGGACACCTTGAATCACCTCTTTCAGGAGCTTTCTCAATGGAACCCCTTAGAGGCTCCTGGCGGTCCTGGTCAGTCCTTTTTTTTCGATCTTCTTGGCCCTTTCCGGGACCGGAAAGGGAGGTGAGTGATGGGGGATGGGGAGACGTCTCGTCCCTCGGTCGGTGAAGAAACAGGTGTGTGTCCGATCCGATCCGAGACGCTGTGGGCGACGCAGAAAGATGAGTGTCCATTCCCAGACACGAGCTGTGGTGGACTAACGGCACTGGCAGTCCGGAACTGCCGAGGAACTCACGGCCGATTTCTGGGTGGTGCGTGTTTGGGGGGGGGTCAGACTCTGGGGCGGCAGAACGGACTGGCAGTCCCAGACAGGTCGTGTCTGGGATCGTTCTGGAATTTCTCTGACGATGAGGATTCCGCTGGACTGTGGAGAACTGGGCCAAGAACTGGTTCCAGGTTCGCCCGAGATCCATCTGGAGGTCAAAGCCGGCCCAAAATGAGGATTGGCTGCAGTTCTCACAAATTTCGCTTGAACATAATTTGGCTGGCAAACCAATGACCAGTCTGATGATTTGGCTCGCACATCTTCACCTCCCTTTGTGTAGACTCTTGGCTGGCTGCAGATTCCTGACGTGTGAGGGTGAGGGGGCCAATCTCAGAGCAGTTCAAAAGCCGGGCTACGGGAGGGGCACACTAGAACCTGTTCCTATCCCTACAGTTCCGGAATTGACCTCATTTCAATTGATCTAGGTCATACGAGTCATACGCTACTCACTACTCAAATGAGCTCAGACTGCAACTGCTTTTTGGACGTCATTAGCTTCGAGAGCCGCCATTGGTGCCGGGTGCCGCCACTCGTGGCCCATGTCGTGCTTCGTTTCTGCGGAACGCTTCAGGGCCCCTGAGGAGGCCCCAGAGGCGCCGGGCGGGAGGATGGTGAGCACGTGGCAGGTTGGACTCGAAGGTGTTGACAAGGCCCAGCTGGAGACCATGAAAAAGTGGAGAAAGAGGCTGGAACATGCCAAAGAGCCACTTAGGCCTTGAAAAGGTCACTTACCAATCCTGAAGAGGTCACTGGGAAGGTCCTGGGAGTTCATTTTACAGACTTGTGCATCGAAAAACACATCTCTCGACAGGTCTCGGTTGGACGTCCCTTTTCGCACCACCTCCATGGGCCAAAACGCAGGGCCATCGGGGGTGGCATCGCGACCGCCTCGTTCGTCCGCATCGGTCTGAAGGGCTAGCCCTTGTGGCTCACGACGGATCGAACGAGTGGCGGACCGAAGCTGCCAGGAAGGGTCGCCCGAAGCTGCCAGGCATGGCCCCGTCGCCGTTCCGGAACCGCGGCGGGCCCCGCGGCTTCCGCGCTGCGCTTCGTCGGCTTCCGCGGTGCGCGGCGTTTGGGGGGGGGGCGGGCGTTCGTCTTGCGCGGGACGCGGGACGCGCGTCCGACGAGGGGGAGGAGGCCTTTTTTTGAAAAGGGGGACGGTCGTGAGTCGTGATGGCAGGGCGCGACCAGAAGGAACTTCCTTTACTTTGTGGCAAACTATACCACCCAAAGATTCAGTTCGCTAGGGTTTTGACCCAAATGTAGCAGTTTGAGGGTGCATAAGCCCCTGGGCAGGCCCCGACGAAACATTCTCGTCGGGGTGTCTATGTCCATGGCGCCGTAGAAGGTCCTGGTAGTTGAACTGAACGCCCAGTTGACCCATTGTCAGAAGTGCTGGGAAGTACATCGGAGGTTGGTCAACCGCCGTGAGGATATTCTGGTCGAAAGCTGGTTTCGATCTGCAAGTGGGCTGGCAGAACAGAACAGAAAGTCCACTTTCCCCGAGCATCCCCCCTGAGCATTCTCTTCTGAAAAGCTCCTGCCTCGTAGGATTCATCATTTGTACGTGTTGAATCTCCAACATTCTTCACCTCCGTCAGGGTGGGCCAGTGTGGTGGGGACCTGCGCTGATGCTTGGACTATTCTTTTGAAATCAGGGCAGAAGAATCCATCTGAAGCCACGTTCCAGGAGTCACAACGGGGTGCCGAACTTGGAGGTTAGGGGTGCCCAGCTACTCCACTGGACCAAACACCACCCCTTTGTGACCCCTGGTTGTTGCATGTAATTACTGCAGTTCTTTTCCCTATGACAATACCCTTACTCCACGGGAGTTCTTGGAAAGTGGGTAGATCAATCCCCCAGACGCGACCAGCACATGGGACGACGCCAGTCCGTTCTGCCGAAATCCACGGCCGATTTCTGGGTGGTGCGTTCGAGGGGTCCCAGACAGGTCGTGTCTGGGTACCACCTCCTTGGACCTCTCGCCTTGCCAGCCAGGTCCGAGCCCGAGGCGCTGGACCGTCGCCCGCGTGGGCGTGGCGGGTGGCGGAGGTGGAGTGGCGGACGCCCCCCCCCTAGCCTCCTCTGGTGACGGGTCATAGAGCCGGAGGTCGAAAGCAAAGAGAGCTTTGGAACCGGACTGGGGGTCAAAGGGGGAATCCTTTTCAGCTTTGTCATGCTGAAAAGGGACACCCGTTTTCATCGTCCTACGTGTTGTTTGGACCTCCCCCCCAAAAAGAAACAGAACTCCAACTGGCGCAGATGCCCCCCCCCCACATTGGCCCTCCGTTCTCTTTGTGGGGGCACCTCCTCCACCTTTGACCAGAAAAGTCTGTGGTTCCACCGACGCAACGGACGCCGACGCCTTCGTAGTACGGGCGACCGAAGCGAAGGCGACCGAAGACGAACGACCCAAAGTGCTGGACCTGATGGCGAAGCTTCACAAGGACCGACTGGGGCCGTTCCAGAACGAACGCCCGTTCTTCGGGCCGAGCGAAGCCCAAGGGTGGAGGAGGAGTTCTTTGTTTCGCCTGACGCGCCCCCTAAGTTAGGGGGCTTTAGTTAGGCGCGCCTTCTTTCTAGATGCTCAAGTAGGGTGTCATGTCATGGGCTTTTGGACCTTTCTTCATGGGCTTTTGGAGTGAACGCACCGACGTCTGGAGACGTCTGGAGACTTCGCAGCGATTTGGGAGACCTGACCCGCCCTGACGACGGTGAATGGGTGACGGGTCCTTTCGGCCAGTGAACCGGCGGGGGTCCGTCCGTGCGTTCTTTCTCAGTCCTTGAGTTGTCTCTTCGAAGTGGTTTCCTATGGTTTCCTCATGTTTCGATCTGGAGAACATCGCCATATCTCTAAACCCCAAAACCATCCAAAACCCTAAACCTAGTAGAAACAAGTGCCACGCTAGTTAGTAGTAACAAGTGCCTTACTAGTAGTAACAAGAAGCAAACGTAGAAACAAGACCTCTCCTTAAATCTCATCGCAGCCTCCCCCACGAAATCGTCCCTCCGCAGCACGCCTCGCGCCTCGAGCGGAGTCCTGGCACGCACAGGAGCACATGGCCAGGAGCTGCTGGGACCAACGCAAGTGAGGAGAACTGGGTGCTGGTGCTGTGCACCCTCCCAAGGAGTTTTTCTTTTTGACAGATGTTACTTGGGGAAGTGACTAGGACAATCAGGGATTGGTCTCAAACATTTGGAAAAAACCGTTTGATGGAACCCCCTTGACCCAGGTGTTCAGCCACCTTCTTCACTGAACACCCCCCCTTTGGGCCAAAAAGACATCCTCTTGACACCTGAACACCCTGCTGAAACACGCATCTTCTTGCGAAAAGAACTCCGTTCACTTGGCAGTTCACTCACTCGTTAAGCTTCGCTTCTTCGCTTTCGATAGTTCTGCTTGGGCCGTTCTGCGGTGCGGTCGGTGCGAACGGTGCTGCCGTTCGCGTTCGCGTCGGAGCTGGATTCCCCGTCTGCTCGCGGTACGTGCCGAGGCTCCCAGGATGCCTCCTGGTGCAAAGAGGCCCGAAACCCGAACGACTGGGACAGGGACACGTATGGTGACATGTCACATGTCTGTTTTTGGGTGCGGGACACACCTACATGTCGTGTTTCTGGCGGTGTTTTGATTCCGTTGGTTCCTTATTAGCTTGCTTGTGCAAGCTTTGGTTGGCACTTCGGACTGGGAACCCTCACCCAGGGCGTTCGACCCGTTCTGCCAGGAGCTCCAGCGGCAGCGCCGCGCGCTGGAGGCCGCGCAGGGCGCCCAGCGGAGCTTCGCAGCCGAGGCCGAGGAGCAGCGGCGCCGGCAGGCGACGCCGCGCCGCGCCGCGGGGTTTCGCGGGTCCAAACGGAAGGGGTTTCAGGGGGGGGGGAAGGAGAGAGTGGAGTGAGGCAGGCGTGGGAGTGAGGGTGGGAGAGGGTCGGTGTAGTGAGCTCTTGTCGTATTTTTGTTGGGAGCGGAGACTTAAGAAAGGTCTATACGCAGTTGGTGTATGTTGGTGTATCCATCTAGCATCGTGATTTTTTGTGGTCTCATCGATTCTAATCGGTTTCTGGTTGTCCTTGCGGGCCTGGGTCGGCGAGAGCCGCTGGGATCGATCGGCCCAGCGTTGCTCCGAGCGCGGAGGTGCGCGAGGTGCTTAGGGTGCTTCGTGGCTAAGAAGTAACAGGTCCAACGGCTCAAACGACGGCCCTGAGGTTTGGTAGGGATTTCGAAACATAACTAGACTACCCAGACGCGACCCTGGACCTTCATATGGAGGGGTGGGACCCTCATAATATGCAGGGGTCCGGACCCGAACCAAACCCTATGGTTTTTGAGGGACCAGTCGGGCGTCGTTCACGGAGCGTCCTGGGTCTACCTATACCCTGATCTTCTACCTCTCTATCGATCAACTCCAGCCGATCCGAGCGGCAGAGCCGAGCAGTTCGGTTTCCGATCGATCGGGAGCGAACGCCGCCGACGAGTCGACGTGTTCGGTGCTGTGGGCTCAACCGGTCGGTCTCCTAAGGCGACGGTCTCCGGGGGAGTCCAAACCATCCCGTCCCTCCAAGAGAGCTAAGTCGGGGTGTCCTAAAACCCTCGAATTCCCAATATTGAAGAGGTTTGGCACTCCGAGGGGGGGTTCTATTCATCTAGAGTCTACATATAATTAGCCGACATCCCAAGTTGCGTATCTAAGGCACATATTCGGGAATCCAAGTGAGCTACGGGAGCCTTGTCGCTCTGTTTCAAGCAGCAGCGTGCGTCATTGTAGCAGACTGGTACGGTCAGTAACGGTAGATGTTGCATGGCTTTTTGCAGCAAGTATTTAATCGCGCGGCATCTTCGAAGTCACGAGAGGCATATTCATGGTGTAGCCGCAAATCTTTAAGATGTATGTACCTCATATATAGGACGAAAGGGTTGGCTATGACATGTTTTTTCCTACATCATAAATTGCCGCCAGCGACTGAGCTAGCGTGTCAGCGGTTTGATTTCTTCATCAGAGGCCACGCCCTCAAGATGACGATGTGTGCCGACGATGACCTGTGTCGAGACCGTGACCCGAAAGAACCTGAGGTCTGGGCAGCTTTTGATCAAGCTTTTTGAGGCGGAACACTTTGGAAGCATAGAAGATAGTTGCCACACGGCCCAAATCAATGATTGTTACAATCACATTCAAGGGTGTCATGCCGGTCGCCAGATTCTTTACAGGCAGGTCCTGTGTCCTTGCTATTTTTCTGTAAGGGGCATCAACCAGTAAAAGAAGAGGGGCGCTAGCCCGGAGCTTCATCCGAAAAACTGTTTGCAGCGCAGACCCCTTTGTAGCCCATGCCCAACCATTGCAGAAGTAAAGATTGAAAAGCGAGTGTCGTGGTTGGAGGATAGCTTTGCATTCTATCCGAGTGTGGGTTCGCTTGCTTGTATTTGCTAGTTCCAGCCAGCAGGATTTGCTTTTCCGCAGGCGAGAATAAGGAGGTGGCAATAATCTTCGTCAACCGTGGGGTAGAGGTCGGTGTTGCTGTTGAAAGCACGGGCAAAATATCCTTGAAGTAGGTATGGCAGGCCAAGTGAGGGTGAAGCGGCAACACAGGATGCAAACCCATCTGTAACAGCATCGGCTGTAGCAAATTCTTGAACTGGCTTGTGGGCGCTTGCTTTATGTGACATTGTTGTTATTGATTTTTGGGTTGACCTTGCTGCGTGCGTTGATCTACCTACTTCAATGGTACGATGCGCCGCCCTGTGCTTTTCAATCTGATACGGCTGTAGTTAAGCTGATCAGGTCATTTCGTCTGTGCAAATTGAATTTTGTGCTCTGCTAAAGTAGAGGTGCACTTTTGCGACTGCTTAGGTCTTTTTCTAAAACCTTTTCAACAATGCAATACTAGGACGACAGTAGGATATCCTAGCGTAATACAGTTTTCTGGGCATTATATCGGGATGCGTTGAATGAATTTGCAGCTACAGGGTCTGCCAAGAGCGCATACGACTCGTGGCTACCAAGGAATCGCTCCTACCAGCTCACCCGCTTGCCGCTTTGGCACCCAGACGTTGCATGGTTGCGCTGCTCAGACGTTGCTGCAACGCCTCTCAAAGTTGCAGAAGGACTGTGTGGATTAGTAACAAAGGGCATAGTCCTTCACTGAAGACCAACGGGACACCGACCTGCCTGGTCTGACGGGATAGGCAGGTGGCTAAGTTCCCCAGGGAGGCCAGCACCAACACACAGCTTGGGACCCCGTGGCCTACACCAACTGGATACATGGCAACTGAGCGGAGCTCCCTGCATTTGCAGGGCTTTGAGCACATCCCGCTGTGCTTCCACAAGCTAGGCGGAGATCGTGCTCGACGACTCACATCCCCGATGCTGACGCAGGACATCTATGAGGCCATCGCTTGGGAGAGACCATGGTGCCATGGTGCCCTACCTGCTTGGCGAGGGCACCGGCTAGTTGCAAGGCAAAACCTGGTTAACCTGTGATGGATTTCTGCGCTTTTCGGCTTTTGACTGTCATTGACATCTTGCTTGTCTTCTCATGCAAAAGTTGTTCGTGATGTGTTTTCTTACTTTTCTCGTGATATTTTTGGTATTTTTACATAACGCATGTCTCTTTTCATGGGGTCTTCAGTTACGTTGCCTTTTCAACTCGCTGTATAAGAACAAAATCGGGGAATGCTCTCATGCTATTCTTGCGTAGGGTGATCTCAAAGTTGGTTTATTTGAGGCTTGGACAAGCGATTATATATTCTTTTTCGAGGGGTACCCTATCCCGACTCCAAAGGCATGCGTCCTGCCAATGAATTTGGTGAATGTACGATCGCCTGGCGTGCCTGTGACTAATTACATCGTGTTTTCCTGCTCGGTTCATTTTACTTGTCTTCTGGTCCTCAAAAAGAATTGGCTTCTATGATGCAGACCGTCAAAAATTGACAGCTTCGCAAGGAGTCATATATATAGTACTTTGCAGCCGCTTGTTTTCTCAGAACTTTTTGTGTGATGTTTCTGTGGGTGCCTGACACGCGTGCCCTCCTCACGGACATAACAGATATACTCCGGGTCTTCAACCTGCACATTCCATCTAGGGTTCTATTTTTGTTCTTGCGAGGCATGAAACTTTTGCGCGTGTAGAAGTAAGAACGAGGAGGAGAGATGCCTGCTAAATGTGCTGTATGCGATAATGTAAACAAGCTCTTCTCAAGCGAAGAAGCTTCGAGATTGAAAAGGAATGCGTTTGATTTAGGTCGGCGCCGGACACAGGCTCATGACATTGACACGGCGATCGGGCCCCCGGTCTTTTTTCCAGGTTGGTATTACGGTAAGGAAGCCCCTATTGCTTGGCAAAAGATGAGCGGTGAGACCTTACCAGGACGGGGATGCATAGCTTGTACTTTTCGGCACTGAGTTTACACTGGATCCTTTGGGTGCCGCGGAGGAAGAGTTGGAGCAAGGAGAGCTGGATGTCAATGCTCAGCGCAAGAAGAAGGCAGGAAGGGTCATTGCCCGCATGCGGTTCAGTATGTTTGCGAATGCTTCCTGGCCACGTTCTGCAGAGAACGTCTGCTGTGGTCGGTACCATCTATATACCATATACATAATGTAGCGTGTGGCTGATTTCAGCAAGTGGGTGGGAATCGTCTGTTCCGAAGATGTGGCGCGAAGAAAGTCCCTATGGCTGAGGGTTGTAGGTATCAATAGTTTTATGTCTAGGCGCTAATGTTTACCGAGGTTTTTTTACAAAACATTGTTTTTATATGTCGACCTGTTTGATTAGCTCAGAGGCGAGTCTCTTCTTCAGTTGGTTGCGGCTACCATGTGTTCTTCTGCGAGGAGGAGGCGGCAGGCGGTCGAGGATGGTTTCAAGTTCGTTTCAGGCATTGAAATGCAGATGGTGTGGGTTGAGCACGAAGTGACATAATCGGGGAACTCTTGCGGGACAACGGGGCCAGGCATGAGGAGATTTATGCGGTGGCTGCGTCGTCAAAGCTAGCTCAGATGTTGAAGGTGACAACTGCAACTAAGTTTTCGCGCGCGGTTGCCAAGAGTTGGTTTTCAAATACATCGCTGTTACCCAGAATGGAAGGGGCGATGCCCGAGTCGAAAACACTTAAAAGCGATCGAACGGGCAATGGGGTTTTCAACCTAAAGACCTTTACATGCAAAAAGTGTAGGGCTTTCAACGTCAAAAGTTTTAAATGCAAAAACGAAATCTTCAACCTGAAGAAGCTTGAAGTGCAAAGAGCGGCCGGCATTGAATCTAAAGAGATGTTCCTTCTCATCCAACATGCTCACCATCGCAGACGATTTTTTTAAGGTAGAAGCTTCAGGCTTTGGCTACCATTATGGAACTGGAGGAGGAGATTTGGACAGAGGACGATGACTTTGAGAAGCTCGAGCTCAGGTTGAGAAAGTTGGAGGAGATGGTAGTCAGCCATGATGGACGTGAAGCCGAAGAAGGCTATGAAGGCGAAGCTGATGAAGGCTATGATGCCGATGAAGGACAAGAAGGATGAAGTTGAGTCCAATGAGAGCCGTGGAAAGATGAAAGCTTCGGTCCGCCTTGTCTCCGTCCTCTCTTTCTTTGTCTCCGGTCTTGTCTCCCTTCTTATTCACTGTGTCCGGCTTGTCTCCCTTCTGTCTCCTTTTTCTTCCCTTCTTGTTGGTCACTCTGCCGGCCTTGTCTCCCTTCTGTCTCCTTCTGTCTCCCTTGTTGTTGGTCATTCCCCAAACAGTTTACTGTTGGGGGTTCTCAGTTCTTTCTTACGATGTGTCCGCCCTTTCTGTCACTGTTGGTGTCTGCCCTCTTTCCGCTGGCCATGCAGCATTTCTCACTGCTGGTGTCCGCCCTTTTGCGCTGGCCATGCAGCACGCACTGCTGGTGTCCGCCCTTTTCCGCTGGCCATGCAGCATTTCTGTTCTTTTGTTTCCAAGCTGCTTTCTTTTCTTTTCTATTCATATTTCTTTACTATTTTTTTCAGATTCGGCGCCTGCGCTGCTGGTGTCCGCCCTTTTCCGCTGGCCATGCAGCGTTTCTATTCTTTTTTCTTCCATGTGATGTCCTTTCGTCTCCCAGGTTCCGTGCCTGCACTGCTGGTGTCCGCCCTTTTCCGCTGGCCATGCAGCATTTCTTTGCATTTGTCTCCCATGTGATTTGTGCACTTGTGTTTGCCAGGCTCGGTGCCTGCACTGCTGGCGTCCGCCCTTTTCCGCTGGCCACGCAGCATTTCTATTCATTTGTCTCCTGCCACGAAATCTGCGCTTCGAGGTTCACAAAGGGCTGCGCCCGCCACGAAATCTGTGCTTCGAGGTTCACAAAGTGCTGTGCGCGCCACGAAATCTGCGCATCGAGGTTCACAAAGTGCTGTGACTGTCAGGAAATCAGCACTTCGAGGTTCACAAAGTGCTGTGCCTGCCACGAAATCTGCGCTTCGAGGTCACAAAGTGCTGTGCCTGGCACGAAATCCGCAAACGGGCCACATGTCCAAAAGTCACGAGTCACTGCACTCGTCACGAAATCAGAGCGCCTCGATGCCTTTCGAAGTAAAACACTCCGATCCTTTGCGCCTGTCACGAAAAGCCGACTTTGGACCGCCAAAGCACGAGGTTTTCCTACAATGCGCGCGGCACCACAACGAGAGCGCGCTCGCGACAAGCACCCGCTCCAGCCACCCAGATTTTGCGAGCGTGCGCAGTCGAAATGCATTTTGACGACTTTGAGAGGCACGAATGCACTGTAAATAGCAACGAAATAGCCTGACCCGACCGCGCAACACCTCCGATTAGACACCGGTGCTTAACAACCACCGTAAAACCCCTGGTGTGTCCACACTGTTCGGGGAAGATAATAGTATACATATATATATATATATAATATTATAATATATAATATAGAAAGTTCAGCTAAAATTGTTTTGGATTATCTATTAACCTCCAACTTAGCAGAAATACCCAAACAAAACGGTAATGAACTCAAACATTCAAGATCGGAGAAAAACCTACAACTACGACAAAGCCAAGCCACTCACCATGTGGGCCAACCGTCAGCTCGAGCGGTTTTCGTCGGCTCCGAAGGCGGCGCTCGATGCGGAGCTTGTTCAGCTCCAGCACGCGGACGGCGTCGCCCAGCAGGCGGTGGGCGGTGGAGGGCGGTGGGTAGTTGCCCGTGGGGAGGCCGTGGGTGAAGCAGGCAACCCCGAAGACACAGCTGTTCCATGCTGTTCCGAACCCTGTGGATTGGGTGTTTTTGAGGACGTATATATACCAGCACCCGACTCTACAGGTCTCCTTTAGTAGATTTTGGAGACTAAAAAATGTCAGGTGGTGACTTGGCAGGTCTCGGGTGCTGGTATATTGGTAATGTGAGTTTCCATCCGTTCGCTCTCGCACAAAGACATCACCACTCGGGTCCGGACATGGCTATCACAAGTGCAGCGCCTCCTGTTAGCCACGGAAGCAGCCACCTGTCTGGCACCTACTACATCCAGTTCTCCAGGCTGAAACACTGTGTCACTGTGCCTTTAGGAATTGGGAACCTTGCCCTCCCAACCTCGATGACACGCATTGGATGCCTTTGAGGGTGGTCGGTTGAAGAAGTTGACCATCCCAAACTCAGTGATCTGGCCATGCGTATATGCTTGGCTGCACATCCTTGGCGTTGTTTGACTCAGACTGGCACCATCCCAGACTGGCACATCCCAGCACATGGTGCCCTTTGGATGTGCCTCCAGGACGAAGGATTTGGACACAGCTGGCCTTGGAAGTATACCCCCAGCTGGCCTTGCACAGCTTCCGAAGGGATGTCGAAAGGGGCGCTCGGCCAATTTTGCCGTCGTCGGTCTGAGATTGCTCATCTCAAAGGGCACGCAGCCCTCGTCTCACACCCAACCAATCTTTCCATCTGCGTACATGGTCGTCACAGAAAACACATACGCCTTCGTTTCTATGGGCGAGCTGGAAGCCTTCACCAATCCCCATGCTCAACGGTTTTTAAGTTGCGTTAAGTTGGACCCTTGGCTGTTCCCCTATTTGGCCTAACCATATAGGGACCGTATAAGAGGGGTTACCAATGTGAAGCCCTGCGAGGTGCCACCAAAAATGATAGCGTGGTGATAGAAACAATTCTAATTACACACAACACCGGCGACACATTCCCGAGAAAGAAGACATGTATTTTTTCCTCTTTGGGTAAGGTGTTGCCGGTGTTGTATAGAAAAGTGTCCATCACCACGCTATATTTTTTTGGGGGTTCCACGCAGGCTTTCGGGTGTTTTCATAGATGAAGTTGGTGTCACAGGAGACTTGAGCTTGCGTTGAGATGTTCAGACCTCTCAGGCTGACACAAGGCACGCTGACCAATATGAGGAGCCCGGCCAGGTCATCCACTATTGACCAATATGACTCGACCAATAACCAGCAAAAAGCTGCAGCCTGCAAGAAGATCACAACAAGTGACATACAAACAATTTAAGCAAACAAATTCGGCAGACATTGACATCAGATTCAGTTCAAGCTGAGCTAGTTCAGACTGTGCCATGGCGCTTAAAATTTCAGCCCTGCAGGTGAATGGTGAGAAGCTTTGCCTCGAAGTCACACCAGAGACGACAGGTCGAGAGCTACAAAGGCTGATCAAAGAGATGGCAGGTAGGACCTGGGATGTGGCTACTACCAAGATTGTTGGTGTGGAGATCATTGTCGGAGACCGTCTGCTAGGCAATGATGAGAAGGTGGCGGATGCGGGGCTCGCTGAGAATGCTGTTGTGAGTGTTGTCTTCAAACCAAACACCGTGAGATGCTCCAACAAAGGTGCGCTTGCCATACGGGAGATGGACTTGGACCTGTTTTTTGCGGTGGAAATACCAGGGGATGAAATTCAAGTTTCGGAGAGGGCCTTCCAACACTGCAACAACTTGGCCAAATTGACCATTCCAGACTCAGTGACCCACATAGGAGATCTAGCATTCCACCATTGCAGCTCTTTGGCGACTTTGATGATCTCGAACTCATTGACCCACATTGGGGAGGGTGCCTTTGCGAGTTGCAGCTCTTTGGAGAACTTGACCATCCCAAACTCGGTGACCCATATTGGGGGTCATGCTTTTCGGGATTGCGGGTCTTTGGTAAAGCTCACCATTCCAAACTCGGTGATGCAGATAGGATGTGGTGCCTTTGCAAACTGCCTTTCTTTGGCGAACTTGACCATCCCAAGCTCACTGACCCGCCTAAAACCCCAAACCTTTCAGAACTGCAGTGCCTTGACACATTTGACCATCCCGAACTCAGTGACCCGCATTGGGATGCATACCTTTGAGGATTGCCAGGCTTTGGTGGACTTGGCCATCCCAAACTCAGTCACCCACATTGGGGATGGTGCCTTTCGGGAGTGCAGCTCTTTGACAAGCTTGACCCTCCCAAACTCAGTGACCCACATTGGGAATAGGGCCTTTCTGGGTTGCAGTGCTTTGGTGAACTTGACCATGCCAAACTCGGTGATCCACATTGGGGAAAGTGCCTTTGACACTTGCAGTTCTTTGGTGAGCTTGACCATCCAGACTCAGTGACCCGGATTGGGGGTCATGCCTTTCGGGATTGCCGGGCTTTGGTGAGCGTGACCATCCCGAACTCAGTGACGCACATTGGGGATGATACCTTTCGGAATTGCATCTCCTTGGCGAATTTGACCATTCCAAGCTCAGTGATCCATATTGGGGAAAGTGCCTTCAACAATTGCAGTTCTTTGGTGAGCTTGACCATCCCAGACTCAGTGACCCGGATTGGGGGTCATGCCTTTCGGGATTGCCGGTCTTTGGTGAGCGTGACCATCCCGAACTCAGTGACGCACCTTGGGGAGGATGCCTTTGACAATTGCCCGTTGGTCCAAAATGAAGTGAAGTTGGAACATGCCGAGAGTTCTTTTGCCGTACCGAAGGGGTTGCAACTCTTCAGTCGTTCAACATGGCTTGAAATCAGTTTTTCAGGGGACACACAAATCTTCGGATGTACCGAGGTACCGTCGCTCTCGACGTACTTCTAGTGTACCTGTACCAACTCTACATACTCCACCTTTGTACTTGCAACAGCTCAGCTAGGATCAAGGTATAATGTTGGCGCTCGGACAAGGTGACAGCAGTGATAGCTACCATCCGTGTTCTTTCATGTGAAACAAACCTAATAGGACGACTCAGCTTGATTCTTATGAACTATACCTGGATCTTCCAACTGTACAAAAACATCGCATTCAGAAAAAGAACCAGCCAAGTGTGTTCGGCAGACATTTGCAGAGTTGGAAGATCTGTATATGGACACATCCGACGTGGCTGAAAGTCTGTGGACATACCAAAAGATCCAAATCAGACACTCTGAAGACATCTCCATTGGCAGCTCGGTGGTGCCTTACACTGGATGATGGCTAGCGCCAAACCATCCAGTGCACCCAACTTGATTCGACCGTTGAACTGGATTTTTGCACCGGATATCCATCACGCCCGAAGCGCCACAACCGTTTCACCTGGAGGCCTTAGAGCGGCTTCAGCACGACGTGGCGAACAGCACTCAGGTGCGTTCGGGGGGGAACTGCCAGGCACCGGGAAAAACCACGAACCGACTAGAAGGACCGTGGTTGAGAGTATTTGTCCGACTAAACCAGGTCGCCCATTTTTCGGCAGGTGGCTGACATGGAGACTTCCAAAGGTGGCTGACCTGGTGACCTGGGCAGAGTTGGGTGTTGGAAGAGGATTGGACAATATTGGACAAGGACATGATACTAGTGGTTTCACAGTAGATGGCACAATCCCCAAAAGGTACAGCTTTAAATGGACACCCGTATATATCAAAGACCTCTTGGGGGGTTGTGCCATTTCTCACTCACCTCCAAAACTGTCCAAATGGCGGCACGGTTCGACTTTTCGAGCAGACCCAAGCCAGGAGCAGTTCGAAGGGGTGCGGACTCCGAGGAAGGAGGTTAGGTGCCCCCCTGGCCACATCCGCCCCTGGGGACGAACACCACCCAGGCCCTCCATGTGACTCCTGGGGGATACCCGGACCTGACCCAGTACCTTAGAACATGGGACACGACCCGACCGCCAAAAACAGGCACAAGACGACCCATGTTCTGAAGGAACTGAGGCTCCAGGTATGTCTTCCAGATCCGACACCACCGGGGGGGACAATCCGTCCGATCCTCCGATCCGCGGCCGCTTCCGACCCGCGCCTTCGAAGGTCCGTGCCTCGGACGTCCAGGGATGACGCCCGGCCGCCGTCCATGGACGGTGCGGTCTGGGTGTCAACGGACGTGGCGGACGGACCAGGAGTCCCCATGCAGATCGGAGCCGAGGCGAACCTGGAAGCAGATCCACCCAACCAGACTTTTGATCCACGGGATTGGTGTGAAGCTCCAGGTCATATTTCTGGGACCTGCGGATCTTGGGCCGCCCACCGGGGCGCCCGAAGAAGCGCCACGCACCAGCATCCGTACATATATCCGTTTGAGGCACTGTGGGTACCAAGTATACATCGCATACAGCACTATACAGCACTATACCAGACCTTCCTTTCGCCCGGTGGTTTTCTGATACTCATGGATACTCCGAAATCACCCTATTTACGAGGCTATTTGCAGATACCTCTTGGAAGGTCCTGCTAGATGGGATGCTTGCAGAAAGCCTTCGAAAGCCTCTCTCCATCATCATCCATTCAGATCTATATATTCATGAGGATTCGTTTTAAACACCGGGATAGATCGACCAAGTAGAAGAACATTGTCAGATCATATCAGATCCAATAACTACGATCAATGTTTATCCCAAGCTGCTGCTGGATTTGCCCCTCCGCCATGGTGCCTTCTCGCGCTGCAGCTGCTTCTCTTCCTCTTCATGCTCCGCCCTGCCGCGCGGCCCGCGCCGCCACCGCCACCGCCACCAGCACCGGTCGACGTCGAGGCGGCAGAGGCGCCGCGGGTGAAGAAAGGCGACTTGGCGATAGAAGTGGCGTTTTCAAGGCGGAAGCACCAACAATGGATCCAAATGGTATATGGGAAAATATGGGAAAATCAATTCAATCTTTTTTTGACTGGTTCATATTCTATCTGCTCCATGTATGGTTATCATTCATCCGGCTGACCCACATGGAACTCCAAAAGAACAGTCGGATTGGTCTTCGGAACATGGGAAGCAAACCACGGGTCAATTTGAACTCATTGTCCATCATGAACTTCATGAGTTAGAGGATGACCTGACTAGAGGTCTCATTGCTGCTTCCGTTTTACAGTTATACAGTTATACACCTTTCTCAAACATCATATGACGGACGCGGAGGACCTTCTCCAAGATTGATCGATCCAAACAAGTTGCCCATTTGGTGGTTGAGAACTGAGAAACCCAAAGATAGAATTGTCACTAAGAATCAAGGACCCTCAGTTCGGTGAAGGTTTTCAGGGTCCATCCCCTGCTAGACAGGGTCAAAACCCTCCAGTTCGGAGGGTCCAATGATGGTTAGGGTTGCAGTATTCCAATCATATCATATATATATATATATATTATAGTTTGGGTGGGGTTGCGGCTGCAATACTCCTGTTTCACCAGGTTTCACCCACAGCTGTTTCAGATTGCACAGTTGTGGAAAAATCATCAGAGGCACACCAAATGGTTTTTTCGACCGACTGTGATTCATTGTTTGGGCGGGAATGGCAAAGCTGCAGCATGCAGTTTAGTACCTAAGTTCTGTCTGTGTACTTTCAGGTATTGACATATTAACTGCTGCATTCTGACAGAGGCCTTCTCCACCCAATCATTAGGTTGTTCATAGAGGCCCATAGAGGCCCCTGATATTCTGTCATATGATCACTATAAGAAAAATCAGGGAGTCCTGAATCGACCCCCTAAACAGGGCCTACCGCTTGGTCTTTGTTCCATCGCCTGTCTGGCCGGTCGTTCGGAAACGATGCGCGGTGCTCTTAGGCCGGCGGTGCCGGGTGCCGGTGGAGGTGCTGGCGAAGCATGGGATCCCATGGGCCATGGGGAACCTTGGCACCCGCTGAGCGGGGGTAAGGCGCGCGCGCCGGAGGACACGATGTGAGGCGGAGTGGGATCATATGAGGCGGTGAGAGGGTGAGACGCCTCAGTTTGCTCCAAATTTGACAAGTCCTCTAAGAGGGTCCGAAGGATTCGAACGACCCCTATGGGTTCGAAGGATTCTGTCATGGTGATTGGAGGGGTGTTTGACCTATCTTTGGACGTATCGACCCCTATCCTACAATGGGGAGCCTAGCCGCACTTGAAATCTTAAGAAAGATCACATGTCCACTTCAATTGGGATGTGCCGATGTTCACAGCCTGTGCGATCGGTTTCAAGGTCAGTCTTTCATCTCGGTCCTCTCCATTTCGGATGGTGGATTTGTGGTTGCGCGCGCCCTGTGAAGCGTGAAACCGCGCGCCCACGACTGGGCTCCGATCATAGCAAAAGAGTGGTCACTGTCGTGAATGCGACGACCGCTGGTTCCTGAAAGGCTGAGTTTGTCCACAGAGATGGCGCGTTTTGCGAGGCCCGCTCAAGACGATCGCCGTCGGAGTGTGCAGCGACCTGGTCGGGAAAAGACGATCGCAGCAGTGGTGCGAAAGAGCAGGGTTGGTGCAATGGCTTTGCGCTCTTTCGAATGACAGAATGACAGAGCCTTGACCCCTTGGACTGAGCCTTGTCGCAGACCTAAGGAGTCCTAGACTGCGGGTTGCAGAGATTTGACCCACATCGGGGACTGCACCTTGGAGGAAAGCAGCTCCGAACTCGCTTCTACACCCTGCAGGTCTTTCCGCACATGGCCCACAACATTTTGATCATATATGTCGACACTCGGGGCACGACTCGAGTCAACCGGGAAGGTCAAGAAAGACGATTTGTTGGTGGCAGCGGATTCATTTTAGATCAATCTTTTGGGTTTGCAAGTGCTCCTGTCTTGGGACAAGGAGATTGATCTTCCACGTGCGCACCTGAACAGTTGGCTGCCTTCTCTTATCAAGAGTGAAGGGGGCATTGTAAAAGACGTGCAGCCTGCGCCAATTGTATTTGCAATCCATTTTCCTCAATTCCACAAGTTTCCTGAAAATGACCGCTTTTGGGGAGAAAACTTCACAGAAAGGACTTTGCTGAAAGATCTTGACCCTGGGAACACAAGCAGTCCTACAGTTCCATTCAGACAGCCACTGGATCGCAGATGGAGGTTTTGGTTACTACAATTTAACGAATTATGAGATCCGAAGGCAGCAAGCTCAGATGGCTCGAGACCATGACGTGTCCGGTTTCATGTATTACCACTTGGTTTTCCGGACAAGGGGCTCCTGAGAATCACTTGGTGCAAAAGATTCCAGAGCTGGTGTTGAGAGCTGGACAGCCAGATTTGCCTTTCTTTTTTTCCTGGGCCAATGAGCCTTGGACACGTCGATGGACAGGATTGGAGGACGTGTTGACTGCACAGACTTATGGTGACGAGCAAGAGTCAAGACAGCATTTCCAGTTTTTGCTTTCTTTCTTCAGACGTCCCAAGTATTTGCGAATCAATGGAGCCGCAGTTTTTGCAACCGACTTGGTCACAACGTGGCACGGGCTGGAAGAAGGTGTGCGGCGCCAGTTGGCGAGGCAAGACGGGTTTCATGAGCACTTGCTACAAACCATCGGGACCTCCTACCATGTGGACCGACAGCCACCGGACTCTGTGACCGGAGAACGTGGCTTGCTCTCCGCCGGTACGAATAATGGCGTTAATGGCGTCAAGGCGGCCCCAAAAAGGGTGCTGAGGTCTCCTGGTTTGGCCGGGGTGACGAGGTGCGGCGATCCGGATGCCGAAGTGGTGACCACCCCACGAACACGACTTGGAGCCCTAGGGATCCAGTCGTACCTTCTCAGGTACGGTGATTGGAGACACTGTTATGTAGGTGCCAGGAGGGTCCAAATACCCTCTGAGAAGGTACTTGGAGCCCTAGGGATATTCATGGGACCTGGCATATTTACCTTTCACCTCTCTTCAACCAGCTGATATATGTAGGTTCCTTCATGAGTGTGTGTGTTGGGTATGGATGGGTTCCTTTCTCCGGACATACTCCCAGAACTTGGGCAGGCGGACATAGTACTCCTTGGTTCTTTCAACAAGTGCTGCTTGGTTATACCATGATTCCGATGGACGGACTATCCCTTGGGAGGTCTTTTGGGGTCAAAGCGGTTGGAGAACATGCACCGCCTCTAACCACGCCACACTCAACATTCATTGATGCCAAGATGATGCAAGCATAGATTGTTCGAGAGGAGACTGCATCCAAAAACGTACCTGGACCCTCAAGGGGTGTCCAATGGAGGTCCCTAAAGGGGCTTCCATTGGTGACCCCTTTGAAGGTGCTGGTAGGTGTCATATAATATGGACAAAATTAACTTGAATATACTTGAAACTTGAGTTGTCATGGCCGTGATGCCCACCTACTTGAGGATGACGATATCCTTCATATCTATATCACGCAAAAAAAACAACTCGCAAAAGGCGCTTCCTACAGCGTTCTTGGCTGCTTTGGCCCAGCCACATAGTACTATAGTACTTTTCTATACTTTTCTTTTAAAGGCTGCCCACTCGCCGGCGGCGCATGTGTTCTCAGTGCCAATCCATTTCCGTCAGCAGCCTCGGGCCGCTCTGGTCGAACGGCCTCCGGTCCGGCGCCACGCCGTGCTGGTAGCGTCTCCAGGTTCTGCTCGTGCTCCAGAAGGACCGGCGCTTAGCCGCTCAGGCAGCCAGTCGGTCCATTAGACCCGAGCTGGAAGGCGTTTCGGTGGAAGGGCGTTCGTCTTCTCCAACCGGGTGTTTTGGGGGTGGGTGCCCGAGTTTGCCCGAGGCTCTCAGAGCTTTTCTGGATCCCAAGGTTTTGAGGGTCCAAAAGCTAGAATCTCCGAGAGTCCAGGCTCCTTTTTCAGAGTTTCGATCCCTGTCGACCCACCCACCCAGGCAGAGAAACCTCCCTTCGACCGAACCACCCCTGGACACCGGCCCGTGCGTAGGTCCTCAAGAAGGCCTTGGCCGAGCAGCGCCTGGAGGGTCCGGGCACCTTAGCCTGGCGACAGCTGCGCAGCCAGGTGATGAGCAACAAGACGACATGAAAAAGAGCCTTTTCATGAACGTCTCTACATGCTGATATAGCATCTTCATGCATTTTCTGTATCCTGATTCATCAAAAAGAACAACTTGTTCATGTTGGAACACGGGTTCTTTCTTGGAGCCGAGTCGAGAGCCTTCTTGAGCCTTCTTTCAAGCACCAAGCCTGGCGCATCATTGTTACGTGCTACTGTAGTATGACATATTATGACCATACTGTATATCAATCAGAAAGATGTGTGCATGAATAATCAGGATCACTGCATTAGTGTATTATCATGACAATCAGGGCTACATAGGCTACATCATTTGCAGATCTCACGTTTGACCTGCGCGATGCGCCACGGTGGTCAGATGGAGGACTCAACCCCGTCAACGGACCGTCACGACTGGCACAGCCGCACAGCCAGTTCGACACGGGGAAGTTGCGGCATGAACATACGGGCTCATGTCGAGTGAAGAGACGTCCTGTGAATGTTTTGAACGCTCTCTTTAGTTTGCGACAAGATGATGCAAACTCAGATCGAACTCAGATTTTGAACTCTTCGCAAGGGCTGCAGGTTTTCGCTGGTTGGTGCCACCAATCTCAGTAAGGAATCAGGGACCAGGTCTTGTTGGACTTCACCGTGGTCCCTTTCACATCTTGCTCAGCTGACAATACATTGAGGTCCGCCGGTAAATTAACACCATGCCATCAACTTGTTTCGGTGAAACGAAGGCCATGTCCCAAAGGTGTTGATGCAGGTTGATAAGGAAAGAGGAAGAAAGCTTCCTCTTGAAGCCTAAGAGGAATGGGAACGAATTTGCATGCATTTGCATGTTGAACCACAACATGAATTCAAAGAACAAACAGAGGGCACCTTGCCATTTCCATGCTTGTTTCTGCGAACTTGCTTGAGAGACCCCGTTTGTGGGGAACCAGATGGACGGACTGCTACACGTGGAAGGAATGGAGGACAATTCAGGTGCCCTCCATGAAAACATCCACTGGATGCATGGCGCGAGTCTTGGGGCTCGAAAAACTGGTTCAGTACCCAGACTGCCTAGAGACTCGGATGATAGAACACTGGTCCGCGAGACTTGGACACCTCGCGGTTCGGGGTCTGTGGACTGCAGACACGACCTGTCTGGGACTGCCATAGGACTGTGCCACCACCCCAACTGATCGGCATATATACCATACATGGAGCGTCTGGGTATTGGTTCTTCAAAGTGACCGAATTTGATCTTCGAGTCACCAACAGGCAATGCTAAAAGGTCACTCACACACAGGAACTCCACAAAAGAGAGTGGAAACTAACTGCTGATTCCAGAAGCCGGAAACAAGCCAATGATTCCAGATCGAAACTCCCAGCCGTTCCAGGTGTTTTTATTTTTCTTTGCACCCCATTTGGGGCACGTTCCGCCCGCGCCGTTCGTGGTTCCACGTGTTCGTTCCGCAGGAGGGCCGTGGAAGCTGGGCACGCGGCGAAGGTGTGTCGATCAGGTGCCCGGGTGGGTTGACCGGCCCCGGCGGTGAGGGGTCGCTTCAGGAGAGACCGATGGGTTCAGAAAGCCTTGGAGCCTGGGAGGTACGTGGTTGCAGTTGATGGTGGGTATTACCAAGAGAGGTTGGACAGCCCGTCTGGTCGCCCATCCCATATGTACCACAGACCAGGGTCTTATATACAACCTCTCAACCTCTCTTGGTATACAATCCCAGACGCGACCCGAAATGGGATCTGCTATAGGACTGCCGCCCCAGACAGACCCCAAACCACCACCACCCCGTTTGGCCGGTTTGAAGGCGGTCCGGACTGGCCCCATGGGTCGTGTCTGTCTCTACTGGGCCCGGGTGGTGGAAGATCCACGGAACATGGATCAAGATGGAGGATCCACTTCGAGAAAACGGGCAAAACCGTTGGGCATTGGGCAAAAACACAGCTGAAAGTCTGAAAAGAGTGAACTTGATGGGGTAGCAGTCGCAGGTTCTTGAGAAGCAACCAACATTTTTTCATACAACAACATCAGGTCTCCCTGCAGAATCGCAGACTCGCCTGCAGCACCGCATGCATGCGGCAGGATCACCCAGAGAGGCGCGGCGGATGTTCACCGCGCGTCCGTTGAGCCGCGCGTCCGTTGAGCCGTGGGGATCGCACCGGGGCGCAGAGTCTTCGGAAGCACATGAGCTTCGTTTCGCTGCTTCGCAGCTGTTTGGACGGGTGGTCTTCCTCCAAATGGGTGTCTTCAGTGACGCGGCTGCACCGGTTTCTTCGGATCCTCTGCCGCCCAGTGGCCAAGTGTCTTCCAAGGCCCTTTTGGGCAGGTCAAGATCGGTGAAGTGACCTGCACTAGGACCCGGTTTTCCTGGGATTGGGATAGTCGAACATTGGGGGTTCCTATGGTCCATCCCCTGAGCCCCTCGGCCCGCCTCCGCACCGCGAGGCTCGGGGGTGAAGAGGTCGCCCCGCTGGGCGACGCCATGCCTGTGCCAGACGCCGAAGGTGTTGCGAGGTGCGGTGGAGACGGGTTTTGCGCGCGGTGGATGGTGGCAGAGAAAGTGCTTGAAACCTCTTGACACATGCAAACTTGTGGGGTGGGAAGGCTGTAAAAAAAGGGGATGGATGGCTAATTTCTCTAGTATTTTTGTTGGGATCATCAATTCTATTGGGTTTCTTCATGAATGGTTTCACAGACCTGCTTGTTCACGTGATTCTTGACCATTCTTGACCCCACTGGTTTCTGGAAGTGGTAAGCTGGAGGATCGGATCCACACGGCCTGCCGTGCGGCTAACGGCCTTGGCCGTGCCCCCTGCCCCGCCGGCCGCCCAGGTGGAGCAGCAGATGAGAGGCCCTCGGCCGAGGAGCTTCGGGTCGGTCGAAGCCACCCTTTGGATCCGTCTTGGCCTAGGCAGCCTTTTAGAGCTGTACCAAATCAAACGGAGAGCCTTTCTTGCGCTGAAGATGTTGGATGACTCTGAAGAGGATGTGTCTCTTTTTTCTCACGTCCAGGTTTGCACTTGCCCAATTAATGTTTCACACGCGATGCCTATAGGCATGTGGAGAAAGAACCATCTTTCAGAAAGATCCGGGATTTCCGCCCATCCACACCGTTGGAGTCCTCGTCGTGCGACTCCCAGGTTCGAGCCGAGCGATCGTGAAGCGGCATCAACCGGGGGAATACGTGCGCTTTCCATCCTTTTTCCAGTCGCCGTCGAAGTGCATCTCTGGGGTCACCGGGAGGTCTCTGGGGTAACCCCTTAAGCAGTGCATGAGGTAGTCTTCGAGGGGTTTTGGAAGGTCACCTGGACGAAAACACCGTTGCAGGACAGGCAGTTGATAGCAACATAAGCAAGTCGTGCACCAAACACAAACACTTCTGTACTGGACAGTACCCGGTGCCAACTTCGACCGAGTCTTCAGACGAATTCGCTGCGAATTCGGTGCCCGCTGGTTCCGGACCACATGGTCGACTGGTTCCTGACGAGACGACGGGGGCAACTGGAATGGTGTCTCGATTTTGGAACAGAGACACCCCTTGAAGCCCTTCACCTCGAAGCTGGGCTTTGAAGCTTGATTGTCCCAATATACCGGGGGTGGCACGGGTCCCAGGTTCTTTGAAGTCCAAATTCTGATGGGTGAAGAAGTGCCCTCCTCCGCGCTCTCCGCGCTCTCCTTCCGCGTGGTGGGGACCGCCTCTGATTGCCTTCGTTTTCTCGCGTTTTGGGTCGTGGCCTGGTCGCTCAGCTGCACGGTCAGGAGCTGGCCTTAGGCGGAATCAGTTTCAAGGACCTCATGACCTCCTCCGTGCAGTTTGAAACGCCGGAGCGCCCCAGCAAGATGAGGACCAGGCAGGAACAATCAATTCTGGCTGGTGCGGTGGTGGGGGGTGCAAGGAAATCGTGTAGTGGGTGAGTGCATCGAGCAATTCTGTTTTTGATTGGTTTGACATTGGGTTTGCTAGGCAGCCGACACATGAGCAATGAGCAATGAGCCGTCAAACCCGCGACAAGAGCGAGTGCTCGACGTTTTCTTTTTAATCTGACTCGTGCTGAGTAGAGAATGGGGCAATGGATTCCAAGGTATCTATGGAGGGTCACTCCTTCATTCCCTGCTAAGCACCTGCCCCAGCAGTCACAAAGGGGTGCTTAATGGAGGTTAGGGGTGCCCATTATCCACTCACTTAGGGACTAAACACCACCCCTTTGTGACTGCTGGCCAGTAATGTTTCATGTTCTTCCGACCACCACCCAGCAGTGTCGCTCAGACTCCATTCGTCGGACTCCAGGGGTGGTTCAGTGGTGAAGGGCGGGCGACAGGATCCAACGCAGGTGGACCATGCAGGCCTTTGTGGATCGGACTTCACCGGAATTCGTGTGTTCATATTTGGACCAGAACCCTAGGCTTCCAACAACCATTAATTTAATAGGCTTTACCAAATTCACTAAGGATTTTAGACTACAAAAACCAGGTCAACCATTTTTTAAATGGTCTTGGAAGCCTAGGGGAATATAATTGACCACCTCTTTCTCCCCCCCAAAAGGTTCGGGTGAACCGCGCGATCCATCGCGCAGACCGGCGATCCATCGCGCTCAGACCGCCAGGGTCTTGAGGAAAGCCGCCTCCAACGCCAGCACCGAGGCGCGGCGGTTGGCTCGTCCTTCTGGGGGGGGGGTGCGGTTGGCGCGTGGAACGCGGAGGACGTGGGAGGTGAAGGGACCGAAAGAAGAGCGGGATCTTGAGGACCTTCTGATTCCAATCCTTTTTTCCGGTGATGAATTAGACTGACTGGTGCGTCGAAAGCAGGGTGGCTGAGTCAGGGGTGCCTGAGGCAGGGTGGCTCATGAGCGGGGTGTCCAAGTCACCAATTCTTGGGGTCCAAAGCACTCTCCGGCTGGGTACTGCTGGGTCTACAGTAATACTGCTGGCCACGAAGGGTTTCCTTGATAAAGGAAGGTTTCGGGGACCAAGGTCAATCCATAAATCTGGTCCCACTCTCTGGACCTGGGTGTCCTGGCGTTCGACTGGCGTTCGACTACCCGACTCCCTACGTAAATAGGTCTCCAGACCTCCAGGGCACCCGGACTGTGTCAGTGCTAGGTTGGTTTGAGTTTGTCAACCAATGATGGTTTTTGGTTCTCTATGTCTGGTTTGATCCACATATATGGCCTTGAATCCCGACTCTTTGGGGCGTGGATTCTTGGAGAGGAAGAAGCCGAGCCCCACAGGGGGAGCAAAACCATCACCTGGCCTTCAAAGGTGCCCGCGATGCGACTGATGCACCCAGACCAGGGCAAACCCAGAGTTCGGTCGTGGTCGAGGTATACATGGACTTCTCTTCTTCCAACTATTTCCAACTCATCTGGAACCCAAATCCACCCGCGGACGAGACACTCTCGATTCCGTCGTCTCCGCTCGCGGACGCGCCTCGCCGCGGCGTCCATCGGCCGGTGTTTTTTTGCACCGTGGTCGGTCGGTTTCGGTTGAGCGACCCGAAGAGGGCAGAGGTGATCACCAAACACCGAAGACGCAGATGAAGGTCACCGGTTTTCGCAAGCAAAAGGGTCATGATGAGGGACCCATAGAATCTTCCATGCAGGACATCACCCCTGAACATGGTGGTGTTTGGTGCTTTTTGGTGGAGCTGGAGGACCAAAACATGTGGAGCTGGAAGTTTACGTGGAGTTTGTTTACCGGATGCAAGATGAACATTGAAGTGTGCAGGGTTGGTGGGTGTGGAGCGTTCAGAACGGTCTACCGCTAGCCCCAAGCAGCTCTGACACGAGCTCAAACAGCACATCGTCAAAGGGCCTCCTTTTTCTTCGGCAACCACCGGCAACACGCATAGCTGATAGATGCTTCATGGACCAGCCCAAGCTCCAAAACCGTTTCGGCACCTTTGTTTGCGCCTGTTTTTGGCGCGAACACCTTGGGGGGTTCGTCTTTTGTCTTCAGGACACTCGCAGTGATGGTTCCAGCGAGGAGGTCACGCGGAAAGAGGCGCCTTTCTTTTCTCCGGTGTCGCCATGGGCCGAGAGTGGCCGAGTGAACGACACTGCCACGACACTTGCCGTTGAGAAAGCCTCTTGGGAATCCAGGGTCCGCCGAAACCTGCACCTCAGGTGGGTCCCCAGCGGGTCCTCTACTCAGCTCAAGTCCGAACCTCCGAGCAGTATTCGACACCTCGAATACTCCGAGAATCGTCTCACTTATCATCTCCTCTCATCAGCTTGGTCTTACAAAGACATATCAGTTGCCGCCTGTGACCACTGACCACAACACATATATTACCTCCTCAACAAAAATCCAGGACAGCCTGATGTGTTCGGTCTCAAAGCTGGGGAGTGGTTTCAGGCCTAATCACATACCAACAATATCCAACAATCCGAAACAGGTTCAGGGCACGTCACTTCTCAATAAGCTTGTTTGTGTCTGCTCCCCAAGCTGTGTCTGCTCACCCAGCAGAGTCAGAGGGTCCCCAGCAGAGATGACATAGGTCGGTGCTTTCCTCACGTGCGGGCGGGTGCGACTAGACGGAGCGTTCCAAAGATCGATGGGTGATCCAAGCCAGGTTGATGACCATGGCCCTGTTGCTACGAAAGATGCCAAGGGCACCGCCAAGGGTGGGAACAGCAGCGCAACCCAAGGCGCAGCTGTGAAGGGTGCGGGCAACACCATGGCCAGGCGCACCAGCAAGGGTGAAGGCAAATGTGCCACCAGAGTCCCTACCCAAACAGCCGGGGGTGTGGGCATCACTATGGCCAAGGGCACTACCAAGGGCCAAGGCATCAGCGCAAGCAGAGCCACCAAAGTTGGCAAGGGTGTCGGTGTCGGCAACACTGTGGCCAAGGGCACCGCCAAGGGTGGGAACAGCAGCGCAACCCCAGGCACAGCTGCCAGGGGTTCAATCAATACCACGGCCAAGAGCACCATCAAGGGCGAAGGGAACAGCACAACCAGAGCCCGTACAAGTACTAAAGTCAGCAAGGGTGCAGGCAACACTGTGGCCAAGGGCACTGCCAAGGGTGAGAGCAGCAGCGCAACTCAACGCGCAGCTGCCAGTGTTGCAGGCAACACCACAGCAAAGGGTGCCATGAAGGGCGAAGGGAACAGTGCAACAAGAGCCCCAACCAAAGCTGCCAGGAGTGTAGGCATCACTACGGCCAAGGGCACCACCAAGGGCCAAGGCCATAGCCATACCACAGCCCTTACCAAAGTTGGCAAGGGTGGAGGCAAGTTGACCGCGAGCGCCGGCGCTGGCGCCTCGGCGCTGGGGTGTTCACACCGTGTGTCGGTGTTGGCCCTCAGCGCCGGAACGCAGCGGCTGCCTTCGCCCACACGGCAGCTGGACGCAGCGAAGCCAGGACTCCTTGGCCCGGCCTCCCCAGCGTTGGGTCCAAACTGGGAGTTCGTGACATGACTAGTGGTAGTATGTGGTAGTATGTGGTATTGGACCTGGTCAGATGGACCTGGTTGAAAGACACCTTCCAAGACGTGAGTGTCCAAAAACCACCTGTTGGAAGGTCCTGGTAGAATAAAAATCAATCACATGCAGTTCTTGTTTTAACGACGGCTGTGTTGAACCACCACCACCAGGCTAAGTCGTTGCCTGTTTCGCCGAACATGCCACTGAGGCCGCCCGTTGCGGTGCACAAAGCAGAAGGCGAGCTTTTCTGGGCAGGAGGCTTCCAGAAGGGGCACGTCATCCATCAAATCCTCGTCATGTCCCAGGGCCTTCAAGGGGTGGTTAATGACACCTTGAATCACGGCTAAGGGGCTATAAATAGACACCCCGAGTTCGGAGGGTCCTAGTCATTTGAAGGTGGTTTTTAAGTCAACAAGTCCACCTGGATCCTCCGTTCGGACTCGAAGGGGTTTCGGTGGGTGACAGAGGCAAGGACGGTTTCGGTTGGGCCAGGGGGGGCGGGATAGGAAGGCGTGGCAAGTTGGGCAGGTGTTCCCGGCCCCAGAGTTCTGCGTCGAAGAGGTGCGGCTGCCGCGGAGAGAGATCGCGGAGAGACGGGACAGTGGAGGGTCCCACCATGAGAAAAGCCAAGACCAAACAAGTTGGGGGACCAAGCGCAAAAAAGAGACCTGGTGGATGGACCCTAGATCTTCCAACGAAATGCAACATTTCTAAGACATGTCTGCCGAACTTAGCTGGGGATTATAGATGACAAGGCAGAGTCTTGGGCACAGTTCGAAGATCAAGGTGTGACAACATGACAAAAACGACGAACACCTGTGGGGTTCCAGGGTCTTTCTCTTGAGCGCACCATACCACGTCGACAAACTCAATTCAAGCAACGCAACGCACCTCTCGCCAAATCCCCCTGCCAAACCAACCAAACAATCCAAGCACCAAACCAAGCCAACATCAACCAACATCAACTTACCAATTCTTACACTTTCTTGGAGATGAGCCAGGTCGAAGGGCAGGCTTTCTGTAGCTTTTCACCCCCAGCAACACGACTCCTCCTTGATGAAATCGCACCCGTGAGACCGCCGCTGAGCTGCAGGAACTCCCGGCGAAGTCGGTCTTCCTCTTTGGGGACTTCGGAGGATCTGAGTGATTTAGTGTGGATTTCGTGGATTTCGCAGCAAGTTTGAACGTTTCAAAGTTTAGTCCCGATCAGAGCTGCAGCAGTCGTGATGACGCAGACAGAGAAGCAGCTTCAGCCGCGCAACAAAAACACCCCGGTCCTGACGCTGCCGGGGGAGCGGTTGGACCCTAGCTATTCCCAGAGTCGAAACCGATTTCAAAGACTTCGACCAGGATCCGACACCTGCCAGGTCACCAGCCTGCGACTTTGAAGTCTGCATTTCAGCTGACACTTTCGGAGACCTGTAGAGATTGGGACTGGGACCATTCTCTTTATAAACGAACCTATACAAGAACCTTCCCCGATTTGTTCAGACTTGTTGAACAAGGTATAACAAGGTCACTCTCCACCTCTCTTGGCGGATGTGACACATCCGGAACCGGCATCGTCGGACCTCATGTGAAGGTGACCCGGGACGGACCGACACCCAGACTGGAGGTGTAACAGCCGACACCAGGTGAGATCAAGGAGGTGCCCCAAACACCACCGGACTTGGTGGTTTCGGTCCTGGTAGTCATCAGGACCACCATTTGGGCCGAAATGTCCATGGGTTCAAGCCACCATCCATCCGAATCGCCGCCTCCGACTCCATCCCAGCTTCCGACGTGAACGCCCGCGACTTGAGGTCCGAGACCGCGGTCCGACCCGGCAGAGACGGCGGTGTGGCTCGACGAATGGGACCGGGGTGGGGACTGGTGTTCAGGTGAAGGTCACCTGCGATTCTTCCAAGGCCGTTCAAACCGGCACTGGGCTGGTTGGATGGATGAGGTTCGGCAGGCATTTTTGGCAGGTCCCTGAACCATGGCTGGGTGGAGCATGGCAGGTCCGTCAGCCTGGAGGTGTTGACCTTGCTCCGGTGATCCTGCCGGTGCTTCTGCGACGAGTTCCACTCGCTCCCGAACAACCCGTGGGTTCCCCGCCCAAAACCAGTGGAGTTGGACCCATGACTTGATCTCCATGACTTGCCTTTCGGACCACCGCGAAGGCTCCGAAGCCACGGCGGTGTTCCGCGACCCGCCGTACGAGTCAGGCGCTACCTCACGGCCGCGGCCCAGTCCTTTGAGCAAGCGGCCGTGGCACCGCCCGCGCCAGGCGGGGGAATGAAGCCGAGGGAAGCTCGGAGGGGGGGACGTCGGTGACAGCTGAAAGAGCCTTGGTGACCGGTCTTTCGAGAAGGCGACGGGGAAGGGCCGAAGAAGATAAAGGCAAAGTATAGACACTTGATGCATAAACCACCCCCATACATATTACTGCCTCCTCTGCCAAGTCGGGAACCACAATATCCCTGGCCTTCTTGGCCCGAGATCCCCGAAGCGAAAAGGGCATCCTTCCTGATTCAAGTTAGGAATGCCACAGCCCGCAAGAAGAACTTTGACACCATTGTGCACCCATGTGCACCTGTGTAGACTGAATAATTGAGCGATGCCGTTCGTTAATTCACATCAATTACACTCTCGCCCCGGTTCTTTCTGGCCATTAGCCACGACTGGCTGACGCCCCTAGGGATCCGCCTGTCCTAAGGCTAGGGCTTCGATCCCGTGGTCCCATGCCATGCTGAGTTGAACTTTCCACCGACAACCAAACTCCGATGCATTTCGTCCGTTTGTAGCCCTTTTTCTTTGTATATATTTGACACTTTTCTCACGTGGTCTCTTCGTTTTCCAGGTAGTTAGTGGTGTTTCACTCAGCGTCACCCCCACCATAACCCCCTGAACAAGTCAGGAAGGGTGTGTGTGGGTGCGAGCCTCTGATATGGTCCGCAAGTGCGTGCATTCAAACGGGGGGGTTTATTAATCAAGAGTCTTACTAAGGAGTTGAACTGTGTGAGGATGCCCAGGAGTTCCGCGTTGAAAAGGGACACTTGGAGCTGCGAGCTAATTCCGGGAAGGTGGTACCAACCAACAGATTGAGATACACTCCGACTCACTGACATGGTTACGTGGATGGCATGGTCCCTAGGGGGCGACTCGTTTCCTTTACGAAGCAGGTGGGTGAACTCCCCGTCACCATCGTGTGATGTCTTCGTGTGATGTATTGAATGTCCACGACTTTCGAACGTGACTCCTGGCAATTTGAAGGGCCTCTTTTTCCCCCGAAGCAAGGTTTTTGTGTCCTTCAGCTCGGGTGTCCTTCAGCTCGGCTTCGCAAAGAAAGAGACTGAACCGACGCGACCCATGGGACTGGAAGATCCGCCGAGGAACTCACGGCCAGGGATGGTGGTGGTGCCAGGGGGTCAGACTGGGGCGGCAGAACGGACTGGCAGTCCCAGATAGGTCGCCTCTGGGAATGGTTGGACCAGCTCGGGGCATTTCCCCCCAAAATACGGATCCGTCCAACTCGACCTCCGTCCCAGCGGAAGAGTCGAGAAAGACCGCGTGGGGACGAACAACGGAAGAGCGTCCAGCGACGAGTCGGTCTTGATCGACGACGTCCTGGGGTAGTCCTGGGTAGTGGATTTTTACGACTGCCGGGTGAGGCAAGAGGAGTCATAGTCCAGCAGTCACAAAGGGGTGCTTAATGGAGGTTAGGGGTGCCCATGATCCACTCACTTAGGGACTAAACACCACCCCTTTGTGACTCCTGGGTCATAGTCATTATATAGTGGGTTCCAGAGCGTTTACCGGCCCCCAAGTTAGGTACGATGTTTGCATGTCAAGACTTCTGACAGTCAACAAGCAGTTTCCTTTGGGTGTCACCAGGTGTCCGAACTCTTCAAAGGACTCTAGTTTGGTCAGTTTTGCTCCCAACAAAATCCCCCAGCGTGAACTCGTCCCCCAAGGTCCCTGACGATGAATCACTCAAAACCACATCTTCCCGGACTCACCTTTCTCCCTCCCTGGGAGATCAATTACCCAGACACTCCATGTATGTACCAGGACCTTCCAAGAGGTGGTTTTTGGACACCCCTTAACCACTAAGAGGCTATTTATAGACACCTCTTGGAAGGTCCTGGTATGGAATATATGACTATACACTGGAATGTAGGCATATATACCATACATGGAGCGTCTGGGTGAGGACTCTCCTCCGGTGCTCCATCCGCACCGGCCGCCACCGCGCCAGGCGACGCCGAGACGTCCTCGCCTCCGGTCACGCTCCGCGGCGCCGAGCTCCGCCGTGCGCGCGGAGCCCCGGGAGGAGCGGAGGACCTTTTCGGCGGCTTTTCAGGTGAAGTCAAGGGTTACTTCGTTTCTTTGAGGCAGGGGGGGGTAATAAAATAGAGCTAAACTCATTCTGGGAGAGTTTATCTCCTTTTTTGCAGCCAGAAGAGGTTTCCATAGCATTTTCCAGAGAGGATGGATACTTTTGGAACACTGTTGGGTGTGGATTATAGAGACCCCAAACCTTGGAACGTGCCACTTTATACGAACAAAGACCTCACCTCCGTGCGCAACACGGAAAGATGGCACGCAGATTGACTCTTTTTGGGACATTTTTGGGACCAAAGTGTTTCGGAATGTCCTTAGTCACCGTGACGGAAACCGTCCATTTCACTTTCGGTCTTTGCTGTACTCTATAGGCAGGCAGTCCCATCTGACCTACGAGCTTCGCTGCCGCTGCAGCTGCTGCGATGTATATAGCTTCCGAACCTGGTCCTCCGCGGCGCCCTCGTTCCTACAGGACATCCGAACAGGATCAACCACACTGGCGCCGGGTCCGTCGGCCACGCCGTGGGTCCGGGCCGAGGCTCCAGGCGGAGCGGCAGGCGCTGCAGCTGCAGCGCGACCGCCGCCAGCGCGCTTTGCGCCGGGCGGAGGAGCTGTCGAACCTCTCGGCAGCGCAGGTGCTGAGCACGGCGCGCGGCGCGCGCACAATGCGCGCCGGGGCGGGCGAGTGCGGGGCTTTTGGGGGGGGGGGGGGGCATCTGGGATGTTTGGGTTTGGGGCAACAGAGGTTGAGGTAGATGTGAGGTTGAGGGTTCTTTTGGTACTTGAGGAAGTGAACTTAGAGAGCTCTGTGGTGCACAGTTGGGTGAGAGCAAGTGGAGTGTGTGCGCAGAAGCGTCGTGTTTTCAGGGTGGTCAGAGGATACCAACAGAGGTTGAAGAACCCTATAGACTATCCTATAGGTACCCCTGGTGACGGGTCCTAGTTCAGGTCACTTAACCTCTGTTGGTAGTGCCTTGTTGCTCAGTTGACCAGTTTGACTCTCCAATCCACCGTTTGGACCGATCCTTGCTAGTCACGTCTGGTCGACCTATAGGGAGGTCGACCTATAAAGAGTATACTACTATATAGGGAGGTCGACCTACCGGCGGGGTGACCAGGGCTCCAGGTTTTGACTCACAGCTAGTTCTGGTCGGTTCTCCTTGGCAAACCCAGTCCGTCTTCCTTTTTTTGGTCGGGGTCGACTCTCTTGTACATGTGCATGGTCACCAAGCATAGGTCAAGGTCTTCCCCAGTGCGTTCCATGGGGGTAGCCACGATAGGAGCAGCATCAACTTCAGCTCATGGGGGTAGCAACTTCACTCAAGCAAGCAAGCTTCAGCGGACACGAGAGTCCTCTGTGGAGTCAGTAAAGACAACGAGTCATCATCATCCCCGGAGCTGGCGGAGGTGGTCGGAGGTGGTCGGAGTGAGTGAGTGAGCGAGCGAGCGAGTGAGTGAGTGAGTGAGTGGGAGACGCAGCCATGGCCATGAGGATTTCAGCACGGCAGGTGAATGGCAAGGAACTTTGTCTTGATGTTCGACCAGAGACAACAGGAGAAGAGCTCCAGCAGCAGATCAAAGAGTTGGCAGGTCGGACCTGGGACGAGGCCACTCGCAGAACTACTGTGGTGGCGATTGCTCTCGGAGACCGGCTCTTGGGGAATGATGAGACGCTGGCAGATGCTGTGGATGGCGCTGCAGATGCTGTCGTGAATGTTGTGTTCAAAGAAAACACTGTTAAATGCCTCGACAAATATTCGATCCCCCACTTGAGCAGTGAAGTTGATTCGGAACTTCTGCTTGTTGTTGAGATCCCAAGTGCTAAAACTGCAATTCCCGTGAATGCCTTCGGAGGCTGCAGGCGCTTGGGCAAATTGAGAATCCCGGATACAGTGACCCACATTCGGGACTACGCCTTTCAGAATTGCAGCTCTTTGGCAAGCGTGACCATCTCGAATTCTGTGAGACACATCGGAGATGGTGCATTTTGGAACTGCAGCTCTTTGACGAGATTGACCCTCCCAAACTCAGTGACCCACATTGGGGCAAGTGCGACCATCTCAGAGTCTGTGACACACATTGGAGTTCGCGCCTTTAAGAATTGTGTCTCTTTGGCAAACTTGACCATGCCAGACTCAGTCACCTTCGTGGGGCGTGACGCTTTTAAGAACTGCAGTTCTTTGGTGGAAAGAATGATCGAATCGTAGAGAAGAGGAACCAGAGCCGAGCATAGCTGCCCCCTGGAGTGAGTGGCATGTCACGTCCACTCCACCTTCAAGGCTTCTGTTTTTCTTAAGGCTCAGCGATTTGCAGCCTCAGCTCTTTTGGTTTCCTTCCGGAAAGCGTGACATGGATCACTGCAGCATCACTGGTCCTGGCTCCACAGCACCGACTGCGCTTCAGGATGTCGACACCTCCAGTTCGGAGGGGCTCCACAGCAGGGTAGGGTACAGCTGTGTCGTCTCGGGGCTCCACAGCTCGCGACCGAAAGGCCGCGCGGCCCAACCTGCGAGCGACTCAGTCCGGCGCCGAAGCCGCGCGGCCGCAGGCGACGTCGCTGGAGCAGGAGCTGCGAGGCCCAGCGGGAGCGAAGCCGTGAGTGGAGCGAAGACGGAGGAGGGTGGGAGTGGAAGGCTTAAGAGAAGAACCCGGAAGGCTTGAGATGTGGTTGTGCCCAGGCACTAATGGGACTGCCATGTGACTGCCGAGTTTCACTGCCGAGTTTCGTGGGGGTCTTTCTGGGGGTCTTTCTGGGGCGGCATATATGGCAGTCCCACGGAATGTATGGGGTGGAGATTGGAGAAAGGGGGGGCGGTTTTCTTTCTTTTGCTTTTGTTCGTTCGTCTTCTAGACAAGTGGGATGTTCTGAGGGAGTGGTGACTCCGAGGAAGGCCCGGGGTCCGGGCGGATTTGGATGGGGGGGGGAATGTGCCGATGCTTTTCCTTAAAACCGAAGAAACGGACCGGATGTTGGTGTCAGATGCGGCATGTGGCGGATTTCAGGGTAGTGGGGCCCTATCTCCACCCATCATCCGACACGGCCAAGTCCGGCGGGCCCTACAGGTAGCTGGTAGGGAAGACAAGACATCTCTTCCCACCCTCAAAATGCCCAAGGCCAGCGATTCACTCCCTGAAGGGTCGCGACTCGCCACGAAGCACGAACTGGAAGAACCGGGACTTGCCCGATGCACCAGGACTTACAGGTGTTCCAAAAGCACCCCCAGACGCCTCCAAGAAGACACCCCCTTGGAAGGTCCTGGTCAAACAGATACTGTATCTCTTAGGGTAGAAACAAGAATCAACATCCAGGGGTCACAAGACGGGGTGGCTTTTAGTCCCTAAGTGAGTGGATAATGGGCACCCCTATCCTCCAATAGGCACCCCTTTGTGACTCCTTTGTGACTCCTGGATGTCATTCTTTTGCGACCTTGCGACGTTAGGGTTAAGAGTCTTGATGTTGACTCGGAAGCTCCAGTCATACCGTCGACAGAAGGTCTGTGGAGTGTCCATTCTGGGAGGTGAATCTAGTTGGAGTGTCCATTCACCACCCCCAAGACCCTCGGGGTCTTGACGGTCACCCGGGTGTCGTAGGACCCTCGGGGTGGCCGCCGGCCGTATCGTGGTCGTTACGGCCTTGACCGGGAAGCGAGGCTTGGATGGATGTGGCTCCAGCAGCTCCGAATGGAAGGCAGCTCGTCGCGCCGCCATGACGGTGGCGTCCGAAGCGATGCGTCGGACGCGCTGCGTCGCGAGCGTGCGACCCGGGAGCGGCTGCAAGGAGGGCGGGCGTGGCCCTTGAAGGGCAACGGTAGGTGTCATCCCCAAATTTAGTGAAGCTGGCGATGGAAAGAGATCGGACTCGGAGGTTTTTTTCAGCTATATACTTTGGGACCACAGAAGGGACCACGCAAGGGATGAACCAATGGCCATGGCCCAGCAGTTCCCGAAGGAAGCAGGGTTTCTTTCCATTTCTTTCCTTCATTCCGATAAAGAAAGATTTATAGCGAACATCATGTGATCAAGAGCGGATCTCTTCCAGGTTTGATAAAGGGGTCGAGCATCTTCTAGTCGAAAGAAGACTCATGTCCAGCACGTCCAGAACATGTGATACGCAGAACTACAGTAAAACACGAAAAAGAACAACTAAACCAGGACCCACCACCAAAGACGGTGCAAAATGGAGGGTGTCCCGAATCACCTCTGAGACTTCCAGGCTCCTGTGTATGGAACCACTCACCTCTGAGACCGGGACCCCCCAAAGCTCCGCATCCGTTGCGAGTGATGGGAACAGCGGGTGATGATGCGGGCATGGGACAGTAAAGAACGAACAGAGCACCTCATGCTGCACCATTGAACACTAGCAATCAACGAAAAAGCATGCAATTTGGCAGACATCGACATGGAACTCAGCTGAAGTGCTGGTGGAAGCCTTTGTAGCCATGGCCTTCAGGATTTCAGCACTACAGGTGAATGGTGATCAACTTGATCTCGACGTGAGGCCAGAGCTGACAGGTAGAGAGCTAAAACAGCAGATCAAAAAACTGCAGCTGACCTGGGACAAGGTCACTCGCAAGACTACTGTGGTGGAGATTGTTTTTGGAGAGCGGTTGATGGGCAATCACGAAACGGTGAGGCGCCTAGGGCTCACTGCAGATTCTATTGTGAGTGTTGTCTTTAAACCCAACATCGTCAGATGCTCCAAAAAAAAAGCGCTCCCCAGAAGGGAAAAATACTCGGACATTTGTTTTGTTGTTGAAATCCCAGAAGATGAAGTTCAAATTTCTGAGAAGGCCTTCCAATACTGCGAGAAAATGGCCAAATTGACCATTCCAGACTCAGTGACCCACATAGGATGTTCTGCATTCTACACATGCACCTCTTTGGTGAACTTGAACATCCCAAACTCAGTGACGCACATTGGAGAGGCTGCTTTTCGGGGTTGCAGTTCCTTGGAGAACGTGACCATCCCAAACTCAGTGATCCAC